TGCATCCAGGGCCTTGAGGAGGAAGAGGAGCCTAGTGGTGAAAAAATACCGATGAAAACAAATAGCTATTTTCTTGGTACTTGGGCTTCCTTCTGGACCTCACCTGGTTGCCCCAGGGTTGGCCAACAGTGGAAGTTTCCCCAGAACACAAGCTTTTAGTATGCAAACGTAAGTGTTTGGTTACAGTGACTATTTCCAAGCAGAGTCCAGATGCTTACTCATTTTCAGGAGGGCCAGGTATTTGCATGGGTTTTACAGCCCTGTGTGCTTAAGACAGTAATGTGATGGGAATGCAACAGAAAAGGAAGAAGATAAAGCCTTTCTGGCTGAGAATGTGTGTGATAGGAAGAATGATACTGGGTACACACACTGTGCCAGCTCTTCCCTTTATTTACTGGGTTGTGCTCTGAACAGATCCTATCTCTGATCTGTCCCTTAGCAGCTGAACCGGGAGATAAGCAGAAGGAGGGTGGGAATTGCGTGGCTGATCAGTGGAGGGGTGCTGGAAGGATCAGTTAGCAGAAGACATGGCAGGCAAGAGGCAATTCCTGGGCAAATCTGCTTTCCATTTAAAACAGATTAGCCCAGGCTTTGGGGTGAAGGGGAAAAGACTTCCCCCTCTCCCAAAATACGAGGATGAGAGGCAAAGGAAGATTTGTTGGCAGGGTGTAATTCTACAGCATAAGCAGGGATAGTTTCTAAATATGACAGAGAACCAGTTCAAACTGGTTTAACAGAAACTTTGTGCACCAAAAACCTCTAGCAAGGACATTAGAATAAGAGCGTTGCATCCTTGGCAGCAGCTCCTGTCTGCTCGGCTCTGGAGCCACGTGGTCCACGCAATGACCCCACAGCTCCCAAAGCATCTGCCTCTGTTGTAAAGACTCCCTGAGTGTGTCACAAATGCCCCTTCATCCTCTAATATACATTTGCAACCATCTCCAAGGTGGAGAAAATGGTTGTGTGGCTTGGAAGACGAGGCTACCAGCTTCCAAATTTGATGACACTACAAAAGGACTGTTTTGGCTTGCTTTGGTTTTAATGAAGGCTCTACTGCCTGAAGTCCTCTGATTACAGGAAAAAAAAAAATCTTATTTCTTTCAAAACATAGTGTGTGTGTGTATTGGGGGAAAGAGTAGAAGTCAGAAAAAAAATCTGGAAAACTGATTCAAATAGATAAAACCACAAGAGGGAGAAGTGGTTTGGTTTTTGGTTTTTTTTAATGTCTCGTTGTCAAATTTTTGCTTCTGGACTGGTGACTGCAGGAACTGGGGCTGGCTCTGTATAACCCATACAAAACCAAGGGGAAGCAGACCCAGGGCACAGAGGACCCCCAAGAAGCTTGGGAGACCTGAGGTCAATTCTTCTCAAGGTTGTACCAGCTCTCCCTTGCCTTGCAGGTGGCTATGCAGCTTCGAGGCCAGGGAGAGTATGGTAATATGGACCATAACATTACCATAGACAGAGGGGAAGGGAACAGGACCTCACATCTTATGGAGCTCATAGAGGCCCAGAGCATCTCACATCTTAGTACCCAGCTCCAGCACTGCACAACGTCCCCGCTGGTTTGACAGTACAGTGTCGGAGGCAACACTGGGTGGGATTTTAAGATATTGCTGCCCCCTCTTGTGGATGTCTGAAAGGAGCTGGCAAACCAGACTGGGCAGCTGCTGTGGCTGAACAATAACCCCATAATGAGTAAAAAATGCAGCAGTGCAACCCGCAGCTGGTGGTGGAGGTGCAGGCAGGAGGCAGGCAGCAGAGCTCAGGTCCTCCCTGGGGGTGCAGCGGGAGGAGGGATGCCTACGTGAGAGGGACGCTATCGTTTAATTTAAAGAAGAGTTTCTAGCTGGGGGTGTCCCGGCAGCTCAAATTCCTGGGCCAGTGCTTCACTGGGAGACCGGTCACAAATATTTTTTAAGAATCCTGAAGCAGCCGGCATGTGAGTCAGGTGTGTCAGGGCAGAGAACAAAGACACAGACACTTTGTCTGCACTGAGACTTGTGGAAAATTTCCCCTCTTCTTGCCGGAGCGGCCGGCTGGCTCCAGCAGGGCGCCTGGCCTCTGCAGCTCCTGTCAAATGATCGATGTCATTTTGTATATCCTCTCATGTAGGCTGGCTCTGGGCAACTTAGCGAAGACGGTAATTGAATGTTGGGTCTGGCCTCTGCAAAATCTCCTAGAGCTGTTACAGGAACCAGTGGTGAGTTTCAAAGCTCCTGACACAGCAGGAGATGAGGACATCTTGGAGAGGCAACCATTGACTAAGGGCCACAGAAACTGTCATGCCTCAGGTGGCACCTTGCCCAGGAAACATTCATTTCCCTGTGACACTGGTCAGCCAAGCTGCCTTGCAGAAAGGTTCCTCCATACCCATTTACATGTTGCAGATGAGATTGGATATGCTATAATTTCCATAGCTGACTGTATTTCTCTGTGACTACAAGCTAGCACAGTAACACACAATTCTGTGCTTGATGACTGAGGGAGAGTATTTCCAATTTCTGTTCTCTTCAGGGAGAAAAGAAGAGTATCTGGAAAGTTTTCACAGGCTTTTTCCCACATGGGTCCTACTTAGGTGAGCAAAGTTTGCTTACCACAATCTGGTTGAGCCATGGCACTTCAGATCTGCATCTGCTCCATTTAGGAGCTCAAAGTTCCTACTTCAGTAGAAGCAACGTCTGGTCATTCCTAATGCTTGCAGTAAGCTTGGGGGGGTGCGGAATGGCATTCAAAATTCCTCTTTGCATTATGCAGAGCTTGCAGACAACCCCATTCCTCCTTCCCCCCAGCTTTAGAGCCTTCTTTTTAACCTGAATGATCTGTTTGACCTTAAAGACAAAATCATTTCTTCCTTAAGCAATAAATCAGGCTGGAGAGCTAAAGTAACTTATCAGAAAGTATCACATCACGGTGGCTTTTGTGCAGGGGACAATATTCTGGCCTGCCACTGTGGAGCCATCCCTTGTCGTGGCAGGGCGGCTGCTGTGTTTATTTGCAGAGCCATTGTGCCACGGGGAAGCCGGAGACACCCAATATTTAACTGTGAGCTAATGCTTCCTGCATCCAGCCCCGCAGTCACACAAAGCCTGAGAGGTCCCCTAAAGGCTGCTGGGATTAACTCAGCCAAAAGCTCCGGCAAGCCCTCTGGCCTGACAGTCTGAGCAAGGTGGGTCAAAAGCTTTGCTGGTTAGGAAGGGATAAGAGGCTTGATGGTCTTCCTTCTGCAGGGGTGGAGGCCACCACCAAATCAGCCCGGGCACTTGTGAACAGGCAGCAGGTTTCCCTTGGTGGAGCAGCACAGCGGGCAGCAGCTCCCGGGGCCTGGCAGGAGTCTGGCTCTGTAAACCATACAAATAACCCCCCTCGAAAACACTGACCCGGGTGGGGAGGACATTGCCAGCAGCCACTGCAAGGACAGGGGGCAAACCTCAGACCCCCGAGAGCCTTCTGTACCCCAGAGTGGCTGTGCTGGGCCAATGGGCTCAGGTGGGATGCGCTGGGGAGCTCAGGGGGAGCCACTCTGCCCCAAAATTACCGACACTTCACGTAACTGCTACAGCTGGGGGAATAGCAAGGATTTGCTCACTGTCAGGCACAGCCAGCGAAACAAGACAGCTCAGTTTTCACCAAAAAAATGTGTTTCTTAATCAGCTGACAGTGGCGCAGTCTTCAGTTCTGTTTTTTTGGGGAAGGGGATTTTTGTTTTGCAGAAAATTCCAAAATCTGGGCTCCTGTTCCCTTCTGAAAAACAAATGCATTTTAAAGAGCTGGGATTTCCTGGAAAGTGGATTCGGGTGGGGGGGGACGGGACCTGCCTCCTCTGCAGGGCAGCACAGGGGCACGAAGGAGGGTGGGATGCCCTGGGGGGGTCCAGGGGCTTTCCTCAGCCACCCCACTCGGGATCTGCTGGCGCAGGCCGAGTGACCCCACACGGTACAACCTGGGGAATGCAGCCGCCTGGCGTGTGCGGTTACAGGTGTGGGCGTGTGGCACAGCACCGGCCTGAACCCGGTGCCAGCTGCGTGTCTGAGCCTCCCGGGGCCGTGCTGTGCCCAAACGGTGGCACTGCTCGTGGCTCCCATCGCCTCCACACCCGGAGCAGCAGCAGCGACTCCCCTTGAAGCAGAGGGTCCTCCACCAGGGACATGTTGAACACCAGGAAACACAAAAATGTGCTTTAAGTGAAAGAGAGTGTAATACACGTAGCCTTCTCTCTTTGGAGACTGTCAAGTGATGCAGCCTTGGTTTCAAACAGCGCTCCCAGGCCAGGGGTTACCCGCACCGTGCCATGACTGGTGACCCCATGGGCCAAGCAGAGCATGGCTCCGCAGAGCTGCTCCTGGGTTGCTCTTCAGGGAACATGTGGGATAACATAGGTGCAAATAGCTGGAAATGGCAGGACGGGAGAACTGGGGGAAGAGGGAGGCGGTAGCGACAGAGCAAACCCCATGGTCCCGAGCAGAGTGCGGGGGGAAAGCCTTCCCGATGTGCAGCAGCGCTTGGAGGTCCAGCGCTGCCAGGTCAGTGATGCAGGAGCATGTTCGCCTGGTTCCCATGCATACCCGTTGCCAATTAGCCAAATTTACATTTAGCTAACTTTACATTGCAGTGCCTGAGCGATCACCAGCCTGGAGACACAGCTAGGGCAACTCGTTTGAAGAACAGTGTCTGCTTTTGGTTTCAGACCCAAACCCCAAACCAGTCTGACCAGCTGGAACCCAGTTTCAGGTTACACCCTGCCTTGCTCTCTGGGTGACTTAGTGGGTAATGATCTCACTCCTAGCACACCTCAGTCGTCTCTCCAGGTGTCCACACAGGCTGCATCCCCCATTCCCAGCCCTCCCCAAACCCTGGGATTGCCGCTGCTGCAGCACCTGGGAGCCCTCCCCCGAGTTACTGCAGTCTGGGCAGATGAAAGGGTATGAGATAGCAGGCATGGGAACGATACCTGCCCCCTCTGCGGGTCACTGCTTCTCAGACACCACTCCCAAGTCAGATAAGACAAACAATTCCTTTTTATTGCAACTTGTATTATCAGAGTGAGCACACAAAAAAATAAATCAAGATGTTGGGCTTATTGCATAGGCCATGATAGGCTGTGGGAAAAACAAAGAGATGGAAGAAATGATATGAGACAGGTCATGAAAAGCCATGGAGGAATCTGACCAGCCCCGGGGACACAGAGGCTGATGCCCGTGACAGGGAGAAGCGTGCAGTCAGATTGCCAGCAGGCTGTGGGCAGCGGTTTCATCCTTTCCAGCCCAAGGAGGCAGGTCTCCTGGAGCTGTGCTCGAGAGGACCTGAGCTGTGCCCTGAGCCGGGCATGGCCTCACCAGAGCCTTCCAGAGCCACTCTGCCCTCGACCCTGAAAGGGTCCAAGCTTTTAAACTGAAGTCTGTACACAGATTTATGCTTCTTGCACACATACACACACACACCCACACACACACACCCGATTTCCTCTCTCTTCACAGCAGTTTTCCAAGAGCAGCAGGCACTGGAAGTTTGGGGATTGGTGCCAACCCTATAACCAACAAAGCATACTAGGCACTTCAGAAATAGCAGCTTCTGCCCCCAACAGAAGTCCTCAGCTCCCAGAGGTATAAGCCTGGACAACAGAGACGCAGCGGTACCGATCTGGGAAGCACCTCACCAGGGAAACACATGGGAGCTCACCCGAATGGGGATGTCACAGGCTGCCATGGGGCCAGGGATGAGCTCTGGACCTCCCATGGCTGGGCTCATCTTGCACCAGGAGGGACAGACCAGCTGGAGCAAGGATGCCCAGGGACATCAGCTACAGTTTCCAGCCCACTCCCGTGCTCTGGGAGATGCCAGGGACTCAGGTCAGGCTGCGTGCTCAGAGGGAAGCATGGTGAAATCAAAGCTGCAGCAAAGATCCAGCTGCAAGGGAGCTGGGTCCTTCCACCCTCCCCTCATAATCAACAGGGAAAGTAGCAACATTTCTTTTCTTGTGAGAATAAATAGATATTTTCTCAATGTGTTTGGGTTGAGACTGAACACTGGAAAAGCATGCAGGGCATCTCACAGAGAGAAAATAGTGGACACATACTGTACATAGGAGGCTGTAACATGGCAGCCAGGCAAAAAAAGAATCTAGGTGTGCTTTTCTGTTAAAAAGCAAAGCCTAGTGATTAAAGCAGGTATTTCTGTTTCCTTCCATCTCAAAAACAGAAACTACTGGAAAGTATCATAGAGCCCTTGGAACAGGTCTGGATGGTTACGCGAATCTCACAGCCCTCAAGAGGCTCACCCTGACCAGGAGGACTGCTGGGAGGCAGGGCCACCTTGCAGAGGACTGGGAGAATGGGAGGAAAATACAAGCTTTGGTGGAAGAAAGTGGCACTGATAATAAAAAATTGCTGGCTCTGGTGAGCTTTCACCATTCACCCATGCGAATGCTACAGAGATCCAGTCCCAGGGTCCTTCAGTAAGTTGAGTAGAGTTGTGCTCTGGGTTTGAGCATTAAGAAAGACGTAATTCAGAGTTTCACTGGGCTGTTTGAGGTTAGGAAGGGATAGACATCAGAGAGCATCAAAATGCTTCCCGATCCTCACTTTTCAGAGCAGCCATTTAGCCAAAACAATCACAAACACTAGTACTGCCAAATGATGGCTAGATCTTGGCCTGATGCTACAAATGTCTTCCAGGAGGAAGAGTCCTTCAGGCACAGGCCAGTGTCTAAAAACAGAACTCCAGAAGTTCTGGGGAGTGCCCCTGTGCTGGTCTGGAGAGAGTGAGGCTGCAGGTCAGACAGGTTTAGTGGCACTGCTGTAAAACAGATGCTCAGTGTCCTCTGTGGTGGAGAGGGTTGAGTTGGTAGCAGTAGTCGGCTGCCGGCGGCGGCTGTTCTTCTTCCTCTTCTTCAGGAAGAAGTAGCCGATGATCACCAGGACCACCATGATGCAGATCCCAAGGAGCACAGCAATCACCACCTCAAAGGCACCTGTGGGGGACACACGAACATGTCAGAAGGGCCGCACCACGAGCAGTCAGGAAGAAACAAGCACCAAAGTTGCTGTGCAAGCTGTGCTGGCAAAGAGAAGAGGTGGGCAATAGCTGCCCTGACAGCAGGGCGCTCCCTGCACAACTGGGCGAAGAAGAAAGAAGGCTAGCACATGGCATCAGGGTACGGCCAGGGTATAGCCAGCCTGTCTCTCCCAAATTACGGTTCCCATCCTTTCCCAGATGCACCACGCCCTCTAAAGGCCTTTCGGTGGCTTTGGCAGACTCTTTGACACCTCTAGGAAGATCAAGCCCTCCTGTAACACTGGCCTTGCTTCACAGCTCAACAGGGAGGCCACCAAGGGGTGGTCACAGAAAGCACCTCCCGGTTGGGATAATGCTGTCAGATGAGCTTTGGTGGGTAGGCTGAGCTTGGGGGGAAAAAGCTTGTAACAGCGCTGTGAGCACTTGTTCTTCCAGACAACCAAACTCCTGCATCAGTGGGGACAGTCAAACATGATGCATTTGAGAGCTGGTGTGAATTTGAAGATTAAATCAAGCTCTAGGGTTGAAGTGTATTATTTCAGGAGTTGTCTACTGAAGAACGAGGTCTTACAGCTCTGTGGGGAAAGGACGCCAACCTTAATGTGATATTCTTTTAAGAACCTGTTAAATCAATAGCTTTGGAGTTCTTTACAGTTGTAGAGAGGGTATATAGGTCATCAGATTTCCCCACAGGCTAGCACCCAACATTATTCACATACCCACCTGGGCCTTCTTTCTTGCGGAAGTTAGTGGTCCTTATGTGAACCTGGCCCTCAGAAGAATTTTAGTTGCCATTTTTTGATGTTAAACAGGGGAACATTCATACAAGATGATGGAATGAAAATCAGGAGCCTCTGATATGAGCTACCGAATCACAGACAAAGGGGAAATTGGGCCACAGATGCTCAGTGCATAGAAGCATCTCTGGCATCTCACAAATCGCACATTGTTCCCTCAGCTTCAAAAGGGGGGTGGGAGAGAAGGCTATTATTTGCAAGGAAAGACGGGGTAAAAGCAACAAGCACGATCTGTAGGGAAAACTGTTACTTACTTAAGATAGCACTTTGGGACTCAAATGATTCCCATCTCCGGCCAATGACATCTGCTTCTTAGTTGGGAGCAAAGAAGGAGAAAAAAGTTTTACAAAGAAGGTTGGGAACAGGGGATAAGACAGTTTTCTGAAAAGCATATTTTCAGTGCTCTTAAGTGACTGAATGTCTACAGGATCCTTCTTTACAGCCATGGTACTGAGCTCTCAGGGCAGGCTGTGAGGCACAGCATAGCACAGGGTGGCACTTCAGAAAAGCAGCAACAGTTTCCCTCCTAACAGATACAGTCTGGCAGAATTCCTCACATTTCAGCTGTTGGCCTCCACAGCAACACCTACAAAGCTCTACAGTATAAACCTTTCCCTCCTTTTTGTTTAAAACTTCTGCCTAATATGTGTCATTGAGGATTTCTTAATTTCTCCCCTCCCACTTGGGGAGAACGGGAGCCAAACTAGAAAGTTAGATTCTCTTTAGAGAGGCTACAGCATATCTCTGGTTAGTTTTGTCATCTTCCTCTGTCCCTTTTTCAACATCAGCACGCAAAATGTTTTCCAGCTCTGAGAAATGACAAGTTGCGTTGTGGAAAGATGCTGCAGACACCCACTGTTCCCTGTAAGCCATCAGTCACGTTGAAGAATGCTGTGAGGCACAGTCCAAGTTTGAAAGCAGAGCTGCTTGCTTTGACCGAAAGCTCCTGAGTCACTGCCTCTTTGGGACCACAGAATTTAATCTGGAATGATTTTCATAGTTTGATCTGTAAAACTCCAGCCCTCGCTATGTCTGCTTACTTGTGATGCCTGAACATGATTTCATGCACTCTTCCTCTTCTTCAAAGTTGTTGTCGTTGCCACCACACCCCCCGTAGGTGAAGGGGTCACATTTCTCAGTGAATGGGTTATAGTACCAGCGGGGGATGCTCTCGGTGCACTGTCCAGTGTCAGGCAAGTCCACACAGTGACCTGGCAAAGCAAGGGGGAGGTGCTCTAGCCCAAGCAGTGGGTTTCCAGGACAGCACCACTTCCTGCTCACAACAAAAGAGCACAAACACCAGGGCAGAGGGAATCCATGGCCAGAGCAGCGCTCTTGGGTCCCCACTGCCCAGTTGCCAGCTGCTCAAATTGGCATTGCCAAGGTAAACTGCCACCTGCTCATAAACCCGACTAGCAAGGAGGAAAAGAAACATCAGAGCATGCAGTCATGCTCCTGCAGAAATGCCCTGTCCTCCTCGGGTGGCAGGAGGGAACGTGAAGAGCCTGGACACACAGAAACCACAGTTTGGCTCAGGTCTCCTCTACCAGCCAGCTGCATTTAAGATGACTGGAGATATATATGCTCTTTTAGTCCAGTGATAGCGCCACTGTCAACACTAGCACAAACAAAGCAAAGGGACTGAGCACAGGCATACGATTACTCCTATTATGCCACTGTTGCATCTCCCACTTTGCTTTGGTTTGCACTATTTACAAAAAAGTGCTGCAGGACTTCGTACAGGCCAAGTACTGTTCCAACAGGCAATATGCATAACACTGGTTTGGGTGGAAAAAGATTAGACAGGAGAGTGAAAGCCTGCTATAAACAGCTGTCCTCAGGGTCAAAGACCCTTGCTAATTTTTAGTACAGGGACTATGCACATTCTACACCCATTTTTCGAATTATACAGGGAAGCAGCTTTACCATGAAATAACAGACTGAAAAGAAAAACAAAAGCTGGAAGATTTCAGCCTAGGTGCTGCAGACAGTACTTACCTTGCTTATGTGTGACATTGATTTTCTGCAGTCTATTGAACTCACGAGCATCTGCAAGAGAAACATTTCTTGTTAAAACTTCTCTCACCAGTTGAATACAAAAGAAATGCCTCCATCCACACAGACATGGGGAGACAGGGCTTTCCTGCACATTCCTTTGCTATCACAAGCCAGGGAGAGGGAGATATAATTGCAGATTCTTAAATATCTCAAAGCTGTGAGAGGAACATGGAAAAAATAAAATGTAATAATGAGAAACTATTCACAATTTCTGTTCCACAAATAAAGAGACAAAACTAGGGAAAACAAAGGCTGCTTTTTTTTTTTTTTTTTTTTTTTTCCCCCCCTTCAAAAAAGAATGGGGAAACTGCTATCACTCCAAGTTTTAAGAAGTGTGAAAGAGCACTGGTGTAGGTTATGAGAGGGCAAGAGAGATCAGTTATATGCTTGCAACCTAAAAAGCAACAAAATACATATAGGAAAGAGATTATGGGAATTCTGTCAGAAGAGGGAGGGAAGGAGGGATGGTGGACTTGGGCAGCTTGCTACTGTATGTTTATATTAGCATAACGTGAGGATGTTAAGGGGACTGTGACACTGGACAGATGTGGAGAAATCATGGTTTTATTTCCCATCTACCAACTTTAGGAGAGCAGGTAAGGTCATTCAGTGAGAAAAATATTGGAAGGGGAGGGAGGACAGGCTCTGAAGTCTTACAGACGGGTGCAGAGAAGAGAGTCAAAGAATATTTAAGAGGCAGGAAACATCCCAGAAGGAAATTCAGTTCCTGAAGTCAGCAGAGATATGGGAGATGTCAGAACCTGCAAATATAATACTGCAGAAAGAGATAATGCAGGGTCAGGAGATAAGAACAGAAGGTACCAATGAGCACCGAGTCAACACCTGTAACTTACACTGCACTTATTCTCGGGCAGATACTAAGTTGACTAAGCCAGAATTTGAAGTACTCACATTGTTCACAATACATCTCATCCGATCCATCAGCACAGTCAAGAGTTTCATCACACTCCAGATAGGCATCAATGCAGCAGCCATCCTTGCATCTGAAGAACGGGGACTGACATTTCCCATTGCACACTGCATCAGAAACAGTTCAGATAGCTCATTAAAATTCATTGTTTCTCCCTGCCACACAGATGCTTTATGAAGGACTTAAAAGCTGCTGATAGGGCTGGCAAACAAGAAACAAGGCAGATCCAATGGAGAAGAGCAGTTATTCCTCTCTGCTCCAGAGGTGGTCCCAAGTGCTGACGACTGTGACCCATTCTGAGCTCCCCAGTGCACAAAAGACATTGGCACACTAAGTGAATTCAGCAGAGGCTCGGCAAGGGACCAGAGCACAAGACCTAGTATAAGGTTGTGGAAAAGACGGAGACAGACTCATTTTGGAGGTGCGCACTAACAGGATGAGCAGCAACAGACACAAGTTGCTACAAGGCAAAGGGATTGAATATAAGGGGAAAAAAACTATAACAAGGGTCTTCAAATACTGGCACAATTGGACCAGAGAAAGTGTAAAATCATTAGAGACACCCCAAACTGGATCGGATGCAGTTCCGAGCAACCCAGTGGGACTCAAAGCTGGCCCTGCTTTGAGTAGTGGGTTGGACCAGATGATCTCCAGAGGTAATCCCCAACCTAAATTATCCTATGACATGAAAGCGAAAGGCTTAATAAAGAAATTAGTCTCCAGTGCCATGCTTTCCACACTGAATGCTACTCAAAAGCCACAGGAATGGATGCAAGACACTGAGCCTGAGCTCACAGCAGGATTATAGGGTGGTACCAGAGGCTCACCTGGCTGTTGTCGCCCACCAACAGAACCTGAAGAGACAAGGGGAAAAACAGAATAAATTTACCACCACATCATTTTGCCAGCTCAAGATCAGCTTTATATTGCCTTCATATCTCACCTAAGAAGTGCACATTTTCTGGAAGCAAGCCCAGTAGGGCTTACGGAGGGGAAATACAGGTGCCCACCACCCAGAGACCCTGGATGAGTAGTACCCATGTGAGGCAGGCCTGCAGGAGCACAGGGGAACTTCCCACCACTAGCTAGACTGTTCCCAAATGGTATTTCTTTTCCAAGGCTTTTTCCTCCTCCTTAAGCTGTACACCACAAAGGGCTTAGCAGAGGCTCAGCCCATTTATACGTGGCAGCACTAAGTCATTCTCAGACTTGGCTAAGAGGATGCCAAGGAGGAAGATTAATTTCATTTTTGGAGTGAAGCACTTCTGGCTCCCCCACAGCACAATGTTACCCTCTGAATTTAGGTTTCAGATGTGACAGGAAGATTTGGTGAGGGTTTCTGCAGCCAGAGACACACCAGGGACACTGACCAGGGGAGCAGTGCTTCAGGAGCTAGGTCAGAAATGTTGGCAGCATAAGACTAGGACACCCCATCCATAACTAGCCCAGTCTCCTCAGCTGTCTGGGCTCTAACTAGCTGCCAGCCAAGAAGCTGCAGTACCTGGCCATGCAGTCACCCCAATCCTATGAGAAAGGGGGGGCTGATTTTTGCGGAAGACTCACCTCTAACATTCTTGCAGGCGAGTTTACACTCCTCTTCCCGTAAGTAGTTATTCTTGTTGGGCTTGCAACCGCCAAAAATGAACTCCTCACACTGCTGAAGGGTCGGGTTGTAAAACCAACGTGGAAAAGATCCCCGACACCAACCCACCTTCTTAGGAGTCAAACAATGCTCTATCAAGAAAGTTAACATAACAGGCTCTGGTTAGCTTGTTTTGCCTTTATATTTACAAAGGAGAAAATCTTCCAAAAGAAAGTTTGTCAACAGGGTGGACACCTGTCTGGAAGATTTATAAAATCTTGAGTGGCATGGAGAAGGTGAGTAGGAAATCATGGTAAGTATTTTCTTATATGAAAGGCAGGGTCACAAAATCAAAATAGAAGGTGCTATATCCACAAAACAAAAGGAGCTGCTTTTCCACACAGTTAAGCTGTGAAACTCCTTCCTTCAGGAAGTTGCTGCTGTGCAATGATTGTATGAATTCAAAAAGGGGTTCGTCCATGGCTATTAAACACAAAGACACCATCTTCTGCTTAAAGAAGACTCCCAGCTGCAAATCACCTGGGGACTAGCCAATCATGGTAGGGATTTACTGATGGCTTGTCATGTTCTGTGCTCTCTCCAAAGTATCAACCTCTGGACACTGCTGGATGCAGTGTACTAAATTTTGGACAGATCATTAGCATCACTTGACATGGCTGTTCTTACATTTTTTTCTGGTACTTGTGGTAGGAGGACAAATTCCCTGCTCAGCTACTATACAAACATTTGTCCAAGAGCTCCTTATGCACTTGCAATGCTGAACATATTGATCATTAAACAAGACCATTAACATAAAATATATAAAGCAAGCCAAGGACACTTTGAATGTCATGCAGACAGCTCCACCTATCCTGCAGCTTAAGGGAATTAGGGCCTTCACAGTAAAACCATGGAGTCAACAAGACCTTTCATGTTCTCCTGTCTTACACTCTCAGTTGCACCCCAGACTTCAGCCACTCTGACATTACCCAGCAGAGGGCAATGACATGCAGAGAGGATGGGGTTACTGCAAGCCACCTCTTCTGCAAGAGGATGCGAAAACCCTAGAATAGATCACTGTGAGTGCGGAGACCTTCCACTACTGGTCAGCTGCACGCTTTTACTGGGAAAAGTTGACATGCAAGTCTGGTCTCTTGGTTGTGTTCTTTTCCCATCCACCCCTCTGAGAAGAGCACCAGTAATGCCAAACCAGTACCCAGGCTTGGGGACTCCAGCTAGACATCTGTGGGTTCAGGCTCACCTTCAGTCTGTTCAGAATTCAGCACCATGATGGTGATGTTGGTGAAGTCTTGCTGTTGTGCAGTGTCTGTGACAGTAAGCTGGAAGACGTAAGTCCCCGCCTGCAGATTGGAGATTTCTACCTGATCTTCTTCGTGCTTCTGAGAATGCAAAAAAAAAAAAAAAGGCTTATGCAGAAGAAGGTACCTCTAACGAGGCAGTGAGTGCAAGGCCCATGTTCCTGCATTGGCTGGAAACCCCCAAGCAGATGTCTGACATGAAAAATGTCTCAGTGCTATAGAATCCCCCCAAACCCATGGTCTGGAATAGCAGAGAGAAAGAGTACCACAAGCGTAATTAGACATTTCACAGGGGCACTGTAAAGGCATGAGGGAAAATAAAAATCTTTGGAGAGGACTGAAATACCTGTAGTTTTTATTTAACTTTTAAAAAATAAAACCAATTATGAATCATTTACTTAGTGCATAGGGAATAAACTAGTTGTATTTAAGAAATACATACTATTTCATTTTTAATATGACAAGTACACTTAGTTTTAGAGATGGAAACAAGTGCCTATTTCTTTGCCTGCTGAGACATTTCTAAAAGAGAGTGAATTATTTCGTCAGAATAGAAAGCTGTGATATTACTGACACAAACTTTTTCCCTGTATTTGCTGACAATATTTGGCTTCCATTTCCATGCTGTCTACCTTTTTGGTTAGGTTTCAAGAGAACACAGTGTTGCTATATATCATCGTACTGTAGTTAACACAGAATACAAGAGGACTCATTCTTCTCCCCCCGCCCCCAAAAGTTGCTTTGGTCAGGCTAGGGGAAAGTGAAAAAGGAAGGAGCACTTCTAGATTTCCACAGCTGCCTCAGCACCCTAGAGCTAGTCATTGCTGGTCTCCAAAATCAGCTATGGGGCTGATGCACTTATTTGCTAATTCTTCCCAAAGATGCCACAAGAGCTCCATATGAGCAACAAGGCTTTCCAGAGCGTTTTTCAGAAGTTTAACAGTAACCATTTGTTCTTCTAAAGCCACAATTCACATTTAACATCTATCAGATAGGCAGCGCTCACACCCCAGAGATATTCAAGCCAGTCAGCAGATGTGACTTCTGCTCCAGCTCAGATAAAACAGGAGGAACCACCTATGCTCTAAAGAGACAAAGTCTAGGAAAAACCCGAGCGGAACAGAAGGACAGCCTGAGACTGGATTATTCAGAGCCAGAGAAGGAGAAACACCAACATGGAGCAGAGCAAAACTAACGGCAGGCCCCTCACTGAACTACAGGAGCGTGGGAGCAGAGGCAGCTCTTGCAGCGAAGCTGCTGCCCTCTCGGGTGCTCCCACCCAGGCAGATCTGGTGTTTTTCAGGAAGGTTTGAGATGGCATCCTGGTGCAGGGAGCCTGAAACCTGATAAGGCCAAGAAATGCCACATCCCAGTAGTGTGTGAGAGGGTGGGGGCAACCATGAAGAGTGCTCCATAGATTTTTGGGAACAGGCTCGTGGGTGGACTGGCTCAAGGAGGGCAGGACAAGGTGGGTGATCTCTAAGTCAGTGGCTGCAAGAGCCCAACCTAGTGCAGACCAGAGGTGACACTGAGCAAGCTGCTTCCTTCCTGAGGCTCCTTACCTTCATCTCCACGGAGGGATCGCCGAGGATCTGTTTCCATTCGTAGCTGACTATCCCTCGGTCATCCGTGCTCTCTGTGCCCCTCAGCATCACTGGCTCCCCCGGCTGTACCCTCATGTCCATGCCAGTGCGGGCTATTGGAGGATGGTCATCTGCAGAAGAAATGCTTGGCTAAGTAGCTGAAGGGTCCAGCCTTGTCTCTTTTAGGAAGACAAGAGAGGGGGATTCTTCCAGGCTAGATTAATACAGACTTCAACCACTGAAAAGGAAAACACTTATACAGCTGTGCTTCTTGTAGCCTGAGCAAGCAACAGGCAATCAATACTGTTACTACTGCCCTCACTAATTTAGTAACTCCGCAAACCCACTCTGGCAGTGCCTTTGAGCCAGCTGTCTCCCTGGCCATTTCTGCCCACAGGAACCACTGTAAGAGGGTGTCCCTGTGGCTACAGCCATTGTGTTCCTCACAAAAGAGCACATGGGAATCTCCACCCTTTGCTCAGGGAGATGACCTGGTGTGGGTGTTGAAGAATGTGAAACTGACTCTCATCATTCCTACCACCATCTCTAAGCACTGTGTTAGCATACTTAACCAGAGCTATGCAATGCGGGATTTGAACGGAAAATATCCCTTCTCCACCTCATCTTCCACCCTACTCTCTGACATGCGTGCCTTAAAAAAAAAAAAAATCACACAGATGCCATTCATGAGATCATTATTTTGTGTCATTCCATGGATTAGCATAGCAGCAGCCCCCACAGTCCATTAAACACTCTTCCAGACTGTAAGCGTAAGAGATGACCACCGATCCCTGCCCATCCCAGCAAGAATAGCCTGCACAACGACAGCATCGAGCCTGACTCATATCTCCTCTCGGCCTGAACGTCTCTGATCAGCAGGCTTCCTGCACAGCTCAGCCCATAAATCTCCACCTGGTAGCAACTGTACCAAGTCCAAGACTCAGTGTTCAAGTTCAACCTGAGTCTTTGTAAAGGCACGGATTGTCGTTTGTAAGTTAGATATAAATCACTCTACCATTACACTATTATATCGACCGTGACTGAAGAAGAGGATTAGTGCCCAACCCCCTTAAAAAAACTACTGCATCAGGTAATTATCCTCACTGGTGTAAACTTGCTCCTAATTTCCTGTTTGAGGGTTTCTGGATTCAGGTCCCAGCTGCTGACTCTTGCTAGAGCCTACTAAAGGGACTTTTAAAATATGTCATTCAAAACAAGCTACTTCCATCACTAAATGCTAAAAGTAGTAGTTCTTACGTCACTAAATTCAGTAGCATAGAGGGCTTTGCAACACATATTCCAGATCAGGTGCCACAATCCCACCCAGAATCTTCTATTCTCTGGTATCTTTTACCAAATGAAGCCATATTCATTCTATCCTGATCTTACAAATGCTGCTTCCACCAGGAAGTCACAGGTGAAGTCACACAAACCTTCCCTTGTTTACTGGTTGGAACGTTGCACTTGGCCCATTCAGCTGCAGAATCAGGGAGGGTATGTGTGTGCCAGCCCCCTGAGGTTCCCCCTGCAGCCTGCTCCCCAGCTGCAGCCCTGCAGCCCACCTCCCTCATCACTAGGCTGACAGGGCTGCAGTGTTACTCTCTGAGAAGAGGTAGGTAAGTCACTTCTAACTTGTGCAGCCACATGGCTTCTAGTCACATTGATCGCACCAGTCTGTGTGCTCTCTGCAGTCTGTCACTGGTTTTATGTTTTAGTTCATCTTTTCATGTAAATATTGGGTGGGAAAACCCACCAAAATAGGCAGAGGAGACCGAGCTGGACCGAAAGAGGCCAGGAAGACGGCACAAGCAGAGATGCTCACCCTGGTGTCCTCTCACCTTTGGGTGACGCACACCTCCCTGCCACTCCTTCCTCAGGGCTACCTTCCAGAGTGGTGGGTTCTGTCTCAGTTAGGCACAAAAACTGCTGAAAAGACACCAAGCAGAGCCGAGAGAGCCTAGCACCTCTTGGTTTTGAGCAGGGCCAGTAGAACAAGTAAATGGAGTTTTGCTTTATTTTCAAGTAGTCTTGTCATGAGAACATTTATAAGCGAAAACCATGACTGGAGCTGGCAACACTTTCCAAACTGAACAGGGAAAAACAGCCCCACAAGCACCTTGTACAGGGCACTACAACCTCTGTAAAGGGGGCACGTTCCTGCCATTCCTGTCAGGCAAATGTCATGACCCTGCTAGGGAGAAACGCAGCCTGCTCCCTCCCACCCTCCTGACAGGGTGAGCCCAGTAGACAGGTGCAATTGCACAAGGGAAAGACCAGTTCTTCAGCAACAGAGAGGCTGATCATTAACTCACAACTCCCAATAATATTTTTTCCTTGACATTTCTTAAAAATGTACACTTAAAAAACTATGTACACTTAAAAAAAAAAGAACCCAAAACTGCAGGCCAAATACTTCTCCACAGGTCAATTCAGTTACTTTGGGTTGTAGATTACACGGTGAAGTTTCAAAAGCTCATTTCTGATCAGTGGCTCAGCAACTTCTCCAGGTGCCATCTCTGATTAGCCAAATTCCCCGACCCTCCTCACCTCTGGACAAAACAGTCAAGAGTATTTGCTCATCTGCGGTGACTGCCAAGAAGGAACTCCCACTAGAAATTAAGGACTTATTTTTCAAATCTTTTATCCTTAGGATGTCTGAAAGCTCAGTGACTTCGGAGTATTTCTGCTACACTGAGTATTTGGTGCCTTCAGCGGCATCATGGCTGTTCCCCCCCCGAGCTTCATAACCTAGCACTGACTGAGCCAGAGTGAGTATCAACAAACTGCTCATAGAAGGGAGATTCTCCATTCAGTTTGGTTTGCTCTGAAAGTCTGTTTGAAAAATGAAAGTTACCTTTGCTATAATGCTCTTTTGACTATGGAAAGTTTCTGCTGTAAAACTGTGTAATTAGCAGGGAGATTAAAGCTTTATGATGCTGTTCTATGTTGTGCTCTTTACTGTGGAACGCGTGCTCCTGGAGTCACATCATTAAGTGACAGCTACCGTTTCCCTTTATAAAATACATTGGAAGGTGAAATATCTTTTCTTTATGATCCTTGAGAAAAGCTTGACAGAGTAAATCCGAAATGCTTAAAACCAAATACATATGGCTTGCGGTGTATTCATGCCTCAGTCCCTGCTTCTTGCTTTTTAAAAAATTTCATCTTGTTTTCAGGCTTATGCAGTCAGTGGTTTGTCTGGCTGCACCTCTAACAATGAGTAAACGTGAATCAAAGTTGGTGGGGGATCAGGAATCTGAAAGACATTAAATTCCTACGACAGCTGCAAAAGTAAGCATCTAGGTGAGGGGAGACCTCACAGGGGACCTTGCTAGCTGAACATGCAGGCACTAAGTGAAATCCCACAGCGGAAAGCACTTGCAGAGCTCCCAGTTTGGGGATTTCTCTTTTGGAGCTCAGATATCAGCTCCTGCCCTCGAGACACAAATTCACAGAAAACCAGATTTCCTCCATTCCAGTGCTCATGCAGATATACCCTGAGTACTTGAGACTATAAATCAATGCTTGAAAATACCTCAGAATGATTTGAGGTTGCCACTAGAAAGAGCTGGAAAGCGCTCTCATCACCAGGGGACTCTTACAGCCCACTGGTGTCTCCCACAGGAGCAGTTTACAACCCAGACCAGTATAGCTTGCACTGGGGACACTGAGGCTCTGCGAAGGGAAGGACCTCACTGGGGACAAAAGCCACCGGGCAGGCCAGTAGCAGAGACAGGAGCAGAAATGAGGCCACCCAAATTCCAGCATCCACAAGACACGTAACCTCAGTGATTTCAAGTGTCAGAAGCCAGCTGAGCCTGCCTGCTGCACAAGCAGCGGGGTAGAGACAAATGCTAAAGCTTTTCCAGGGAAGTCATTCAAAAGTGAACAGCTTTCAGGGAGGGTTCATTCGAATCTCACCCATCGACACTAGAAAACTCTCCATTGTGACAGGCAAAGGTAATGAAGGATGATGCCTCGGCCACAATGTTAATTTGCCTGAGGGGGAGGAGAGGGAGAAGGGAACAAAGCAATGCAACATAGCGCCTGGAGAAAGAGAAATACAGGCTCTTTCTGTAGGGATTCGTCCTGGCTGCGCAGCAAAAACAGTCATGACAAAGTCATATAGTTTTCTGACAAGTCATGAAGAGCCAAGCACCTCTCAAGCATTCATTTCTAGAGGTTTCTGTAGTGGTTTGTAAGAGGTGCACACAGCAAGTCTACTTAACCTCTCTAAAACAACAGAGCATGACTGAACAGATCATATTTTCAGAATAATGCAATCTGCTCCTGCTGCCAGGCTCCTTCCATCCCTCCTCAGGGTATGGGAAACCAGTCCAATTTGCTTTAGCAGGCAAAGGAAAAGAGTTTCCCGTGGGTCCTCGTGCCATTTTAGTAAAGATCAGTTTGTTCCTCCAATCTCCTCAAACAGCTCCAGAGACAAGACGCAAGGTAGCCACGACACGGGGCACTTCGTTAAATTCTGCGTGACAAATGGTAATTTCACAGCAAGTGGAGTGGAAGCTGCTCACCACCTGCTCTGAGCAGGGAGTTGGACTGGTTGGTCTCCAAGGGCTCTTCCAGTACACATCAGCCTCTCAATCTGTGGTGTGGGTACTGAACGTGCAATTCCCCCTCGCCTGGCCTGAGCTGGATGCTGGAGGACGAGCAGCTGGCTCAGGGCCAAGCAGAGTCGGCCAAGGGGACACCAGTGACCAGACCTGTCTCAGCTCTGGCCACCATCCCAGCACCACTCATTTTAGTTGCACCGCACCCTCAGAACAGAAACCAGTGCAGGACCAAATATTTTAAGAAGGATGAGCTTCAAACTTTGGGAGCTCTCCTTTTCTGAATGCATTACCGAAGTTTTAACCTGCAAATCTCTCTCCACGTTGAGGCAGGAGCAGACACATCCCGAACCCTGCGGTTCCCCCGCGCTTCCCGTCTCCCGCTCACAAGCCCTGAATCCAACAGGAGGAGGAGAGTGTCACTGAGCATTTCACAACCCCCACAAAAGGTTCAGTTCAAGAAACGGACAAAGGTTCAGGGAGGTTATTTTCCAGTTTCACACCCAGAACTGGTTTGCCTAGACCAGAATAAGCTCCGGGTAGTTACTTAAACACTAGGCTCCATTATTACCAATAAAGCGCATGGTGAGCCTGCCCCTCCCGAATGAGCCAGGCAGAAAACTCGCACCAAAGTTCAGGCTGGAGAATCATTTAAGAGGATAGTGCCTTTTAACAATAACATCAGAGACTTCAAGCTGTACGTTACCTGGAACGGGTGAGGGACAGAGCCAAGCTGCTGTCACCAGCTCATAAATAACTCAGAAACTCTTGTTCTCCACGATACTGAAAATATACTCAGGTGATGTGCAGAAGCTAGATTTCAGCTGTATTCACTGTTGCCTGTACCCATAGGTTTTTCAGAAGTCGTAACACTGTAAGAGTGGCCTTAGTGTGTCAGAGTAAGGGCGCCTCTGTCCCTGTGTTTAGTGGCCAACAGTCTCTCTGGGGATGCTCAAGCAAGAGCAAAGACAGGGCAAGCACACACAGTTGCTTCTCCTGTAGTACTCTCCCAGCTTTCAGCTACTTCCATCAGGCCTCCAAAACATCCCAAGATTAAAGATGCCCATTCAGCAGCCCCCAGCTGTGCTCTCTCTTTCAAGTGTTACTTAGTCTCCTCTTGAATATATATAAACCTCTTAATTCAATAGGTCTGCTCCCTGTAGTAGTAGTGTGGGTCTAGCAACCTGTGGCTTTTTTGTTTAATGTCACCCACTGGCATCACTAAATATATATTCCACTATTCACTAGAAAAAACATAATTTTAATCCTCATTATCGCAGAGGACATCTGAAGATTGCCACATGGGCATGACCTAAAGGCTTCTAGGACACCTGACAGTGGCACATAAAGAGAAGCGATGGATGACAAAGCAGCATATAAGCTTCCTGCAGACCTTTAGAGCCAGTCTCAGGGGGCTGACAGTAACCCAGGCTCCAGAGCAACCACAGAGCTTCACATTTTAACAGCAATGCAACACAACAGCAGTGATACTAGACAGTTTTGTCTCCAGTCCAAAACCTGGCCCAAGATTTTTTGCCTATAAATGTGTGGGAGGAAAACGTGACATGCCAAAACCAGCTTCCTTAACACTTATTTCACCTGGCCTCTTCAGGCATCCTCAAAAGATTTGGAAGACAAAATGCTGTAGAGCTTCCTTATGCTGCCAGGTGGACATGCTCAGTGCCCAGGGGCTCCTTCATTTGGCCCCCTGCACCGGCACCTCCGTGCCCTTACCCAGTCACCCTCGGTGGCAGCCAAGCACCCGCCTCCCACCCAGTCAGGCCCCCTTCTCCTGCGTGGGCCCAGCTCCAGCATCATGGCTGGAGGAGCTTGGGGTGTTGGTTTGGATTTTTTTTGTTTGGATCTGAACCCAAATCGCAATCTGCATTCTTCAGGGTCTCAACTGCTGTGGGGAGGAGGGGCCCTGCACCCTCCGAGAGTGCAAACACGAGGTGTAGAAGGGACCGAGCCCTTCCTACACCCGCAGCGGTATCGTGGCGTAAGCCCCACGTGAGCGAGGAGCGGCATGCCCGCCTCAGCAGGCAGAGTATCCCCAACAGCATTTCTGGCATGTTTTTCACTTCTTACTGATAACCCCTCCTGGGTCTTCCTGCTCTACCGCAGCCATCCCAGCACCCGTGAAAGCAGCATTAGGGAGGGTCTGCAAGGCAGCACCTGCAGATCAGTGGCTGGGATGCTCCAGCTTGGTGCCATGGATTGGCAAACACAGCACTGCTGGTGGCACAGAGCTCGGTGACCCAGGGACACTTTCTAAAGGCCTGCACACATTCGATGGCCGGCCCTGGGACCAGCCCGGGGAGGAGGGGGCTGTAGTCTCCTTGTAAGGGGTGTTGGTCCATGGAGATGAAGAGACTGCATTGCTCAACAATACCCTGTATTTTAATCTAATCTTGTGAAATCAGGATGTACTGGAGATGATGCATTCCCTCTCCCTCCTGCAACAGATCATGTAGGAGGTCAGACAGCTGCCAGCATGCCACCTCCAGTCCTGGTGATGTGGACTTCAATTCCCCACTAACTGCAGCTCCTGTAGAAAGGACTTCAAGCCTGGAATGAAGATGCAGGACAACTACTGCAAAAGTGAGACAGAGATTTAGCAGAAGGCCCTAAAATGCAGTGAGAAGCAAGTACGAGGGACAGAGGTCAGGAGGGCCACTTCTGCCACATTGCTATTCAAACCAGTGACACCCAAGCGTTGCTCTAGAGAAGCTGTGTCCTGCTCTAAACCCCCTGCACTGCTACTCTAGGATGGACAAAAGTGGTCAGTATGGGGTTTGCTGCTATTTCACACCTCCAGCACCTACAAGGCTCACAGGCTGGCACATCCCAGCAGAAGACCAAAGACCTATTCAAGCCCAAGCCCATGTGCCCACCTGGATGCTGCCCTTGTCATGTTCACAGGTCCTTTCCTTCCCTGCCACAGGTGGGTTGGGGCGGGGGGGAGAGGGGTAAGGAAGATTACCCATACAGATATTCCCTGACAGCCCTGCCCAGCCATCAACATATAATAAACTGGTTATGGCTGCCAAAACCCCGGCCAGGCTCGAGACCCAGCCTCATTAGGCTTCCTGCAAAACACAGAAGCAGGAGGCAAAAGGAAGAATTGCCACGTTTCCAGTGTTTCCAAACACACCGCGTTTCTTTGGAAAGGGCAGAGCACGTGGCAGGCAGCCAGCTCCGGATTAATTTGCTTTCCACCTGGTTTTCTGGGTCCAGGTGCAATCTTTCAGGGCAGGAAGCAAGGGATCGGGGAAGAGAAACCCTCCTCCAAAGGGGGAGTTTTCTAATCAGCTTCCCCCAGCGGCTCCCTCTCCCTCCCCCAGCAGCAGGGACCAGCCCCAACAAGCAGAGTGATACCGAGACACCTCACCATTCAGGCTGCTGCTCACAAGATTCAGGCTGTGGCAAAATGAAAGGGAAGTATGTGGATTGCGCCCTGCCTCCAGCCCCTGAGCAATTAAGAGATTAATGCAGCCCTTTAAAACGTGGTGATGTGTAGATTTTTAGAAGATTTCACTTTCCAACCTCAAAGGCCCGGAGGGAGGGAGAAAAAAAAAACATACATTTTTCTTTACATTGTCAAGTATCAAAAACTCAGCCCGTGTTTGGTAAACACTCACACCAGCCGCTTCAAATAAGTTAAAGAACAAGTCCCTCTCTGTTTACTAATAGGTAAACTAAGGCACAGTTTAACTTAACCTCACTTATCTTAAGTTAGTTTATCAAAGTTAGGGAAAACCTTCGCGGCAGAGGGACATATAGAACCCCCATCTTTAATATCACTTAATGCTGACCATTTGGCAGCACAGCTGCACATAAGGCAGCTGGAGGAGCCGGCAACAGTGACCCCAGCCGCAGTTTGCACAAATCCATTACGGGCACCTTACCACTAGATCTGTGATCCTGCATCGCCAGGTAGGAGTCGTACACGTCCTTCCTCAAGAAGTTGAGAAAGCCGATCTTCCTGGCAAACCTGCAGACGAAAGCCTGCTCGTAGAGGCAGTTGAGGAGAAAGCAGCCCTGGATGTGGTCCTCCTCCGTGCCCGGGCCCTGCTCCACCAGAGCCAGGTTACAAGTGGGCTCCTTACAGCAGGCTCTCATGCAGTCCCTGCTCCGGTGGACCATGGGGGACGACAAGAAGGTGGCTCCATTCTGGACGGAGGCGTCTGTATCCAGCACCAAATCCGGCATTCCTGCCGTAAAGTCCTCCAAGCACGTCTCACCGAAGGGTTTTTCCTCCTGCCCTTCACCGAAGTCCACTGCCAGCACCATGCAGACCCAGAGAACAAACCGGGGACCCGGACTCCCTCTGGCCATGTTGGCGCCCCAATCCTCACCGCTTTGAGACCTTAATCCTCTCCTAAAGGAAAGGGGAAGTTAGATGAGGCTAAGAGGGCCGGTGTCCAGCGCACGCCCCCCCAGGGTGAGCAGGGATCCACCGAGGCCGTGCTGTGGGACCCCGCTCGCCCCGGGGTGACCAGCGTGTCTCCCCCCTGCGACTCATTCCCAGGCACGTGCTCTCAGCCCCCTACCTGGGCGGTCTCCGGTGAGAGCGATGCTGGGAGCGGGGAGTCCCCTCGTCCCCCCGCTCCTTCACCCCTCAGGTGTGCCTTCAGCCGCGTCCAGCGGAGACAAAGGCACGGAGAGTGCAGGAAGTGAAAACTAACTCCCTGAGAGGGGGGGGGGCGGAAAAAAAAAATGAAGTCACTCCCCTGCTTGCTGACTTGCGTAAGAGGAAGGGGAGGAGAGGCAGGGTGATACCATCTTCCACTGCTGTGGCGAAGGGAGTGAAGGCTGCCTCGCCATGGGAGCCCGGAGCGATGCTCTGGCTCACGCAGGTGCGCGGGCACCCGCTCCAGATGAGCGCCCACCGGACAGGCACTGGCTGCATCCCCGTGCTTAGGGTGCTTCGAAGGAACCAAAAGCTGGGGAAGCACACGCGTTGTGTCCTCCGGCTGTAGCCTTCGCGCTCCGGTGTGGCCAGCTACACGGCGCGCTAGTAGCCCAGGTCTCACTAGCCCAAGCGAGTCAACCTTGCAGTCACATCTGCAGTGCCCGCTGCCATCGCTGCTGCAAGAGGTTTTGTGCTCAGCACAGCCACCTCGAAATCATGAATTCCCTGCTCTTCGGACGCGATATTCCTTTTGAGTGAAAGCACGTGGTAGCCACCACAGCAGTGAAAACTTTTAGTAATCACTTCCCACTGATGAGCAACATCTCACTACTCCCCACAATCTCATATAGATCAGATGCGGTGCATTTATGGTGTCCTTGGTCTTGCAGTACGGTGCTCTTTGGGGCCACAGAAACACAAAGGCTGCCTGCCATAACTTCCTTGTATTTTCTCCCTTCTGCTTCTACTTGCAGATCCATGATCAAATTCCTGTGTTCAACAGATACACCAGTGTCATCCGCCCCCTTTGTAAACAGTCCTAAAGCCCCTGGGTAAACTGCTCTTAAACTGTCGTAGTCCTTAGGAAAGCAGGGAGTGCTTGTAATTTGCTTGGACATTATTTGTAATGAAATATTGCATCACTTAAAACAGCAGCAATTGTGAGATGGTATTAAGTGGCATACCTTTGAAAAGAGGTGGTGAGCAGCAGCTATGTATAGAACAGCAGCTTGTTTTGCAGCTTTGGAGATCATTCTGGTGTCCAGTGTTTCAATTCTTGATGCTTCTTTTCTGTACCTCTGATCCAGCTTCACGGGATTTATTGAGAATCCTTAGGGACATGTTTCCCCCTCCTGGCTGTCACAAACACGATGGGAACGTAATGTGGGAATATTATTATTCCACACCTCTCAAGATTTTCTGTGGCCTGATGCTGACATTTGAGTATAGTACTGAATTCTGTTTGGAAAAGGGAATTGCTTTGATCTGACTATGGTAGGGTATAAAAAAAAATATAGGCAAAGCCTAAACCATGAAAATAGGTAGGGCAGTAGGAAACATGCATGTCTGCAGGGCAGAGAGATGTTTGTTTTCCTTATTGGCTATATGAATCTCTGTCAGAAGAAGCATGGGTGTCTTGCACTCCACACTCAGACCTCATCTCTATACCAGGACTTTAAGACCTGCCTGTAGACGGTGCCAAGTGGTGAAGGGAGAGCTGACCTCGCTGTGCTGCACATCATCTAAATACACACAGGAGAAATAAAAATGACAACAAGGTTGTTTCCTTCTTTTATTATGTGCTGCTTGAGGCACTCTGTGGGGAGGGTCTCTCGTATATTTAACCTGGAGGAGAGTTTTTCCTGGATAGATATTTAAAGCCTTCGGTCTGGAGTCAGGTGAGACTCAGTGCAGTTCCCTGACACAGGAGCATGCTGCTCAGGGAGCAGCCGGCCCCATCCCCTTTGCAAACCAGCAACTGTGCTTGGATATCCACATTGGCAGAACTGCCACTAAACACTCTATTTTGGCATTTTTGTCTAACTGGCAATAACCCAATCTACTTCAGCAGTAGTGTTGTGTTACAAAATCCCTGTCAGGGGTTTCTTGCAAACCTGAAGGACATGACATCTCTTCTGCTTGTGCCAGGTAACATAACTCCTACAAATGCAGGTCTGAGAGAACTCTTTGATTGGAATCTCTAGCCTTTTTTTTTTTTTTTTAATGTTTATGAAGGGATGAGCCCCATGACCCCCTTCATAAGCTGTTCAGGCTTTAAAGTAGGGAGTTTTGATAGCTTTTACTCTCAGCAGAAGGCTGTCCTGATACAAGGTTTTCTGCTGCTCATCCTATGTGTATTTATAATTACTTTATATTCAGTTTTCTTGTGCAGTATTGTCCTTTCATTTCAAAATATTCTCTCCTTTTGTCTTCTTCAGATGAATTTATTTTAGTGAAATCATATCCTAACTCAGTCTTCAGTTTACTAGTGCAAGCATAGAATCACAGAATCACAGAGGGGTTTGTGTTGGAAGGGGCCTTAAAGATCATCTAGTTCCACCCCCCTGCCATGGGCAGGGACACCTTCCACCAGATGAGGTTGCTCAAAGCCCCGTCCAACCTGGCCTTGAACAATCCCAGAGCAAGGCATGATCTTTCAATCACTTCTTTTATGGTCGAGTCTCCATTTCCCCTCTGTTATCCTAATGGCCCTCTTTCTGCACATTTTCCGGTTTCAGGTTTTTTATTATTAAATATGTGTTACAGAATTCTATACCACAGTCTAAAGACTGGATCACCCATTACCAAGTATTTAATCTTCTCTCTCTCTGCTGGAAATACGCTGCTGAATACATCTTGGGCTCATGTTAGTATCATTCGTAGGCTCACTGCAGAGCCATCTTTTGAACAGTACATGTTTTATGGATCTTGGACTCGTTCTCTTCTGCCATTTTTAGCTGATCTGTCTCCAGCTAAATTTTTTGTGACAATTTCCCAATTATGTGATCTTACTTTTCATATTCTGTATATTCTTAAATTTGATCCCTTTTTTTTTTTTTTTTTCAGCTTAGCAGATGGGTCTGGCCTGTTTATTTGACCTTTAAAGATCACATTTTTCATCCTCTGCTGTAGGAAGGATGCATCCCACCTCTGTGCCAGTAGCACAGATTCTAAATATGCCCAGTTTCTTCTGAAGAGGTTCATAATTAAAATCTTGATTGAGATTAGTCTCAAGATCAGGGACTTCTACTAGGAACCCTCTCTTGCAGCAGTAGCTTTCCTTCTAACTCAGTAACTTACTCTTTGCCCTCCTAACCTAGAAATCCTGTTGTAGCCTGCATCTTCTGCCAAACGAATAATTTCCCACGACTTCAGCTGAGCCATGTGTTATTCATATTAGCGTGAAGGGAAAGTAGGGTGTGTGATTTTATGACTTGGGGAGTGTTTTTAAGGGGTCTTGAAACAGTGAGTCATTGTTAACATTTGTCTGTCTTTGAGAAGTGTCTGTGCTTGGTCTGGCAATAACTATTCAGGACGTGACTCAGGAGGGGTAAAACGCACCATAGTTTAATATTTGACTAAGATTATAAGATCTCTTAGACACGCATGGCTTGTAACAAACTCAGTGCAAGAGTCTGCATCACCTGCCTTCTTGCGATTGCTATGGAGACCCCAGCACCCATTGGTAGGTGGTTGCCCAACTTCTAGAAGGAAGTGACCCCAACAGGCAGAAAAATAAGGCAGATTTGTTGCAGATCCCCTTTGACCTGCTGTGCAGCCCAGCTCCATGGCATCACTGTCTGCAATGACTTCCTGACAGCAGCTTGTCCCACCGGCTGCTGCAGACGAATCCATTCTGCTGCGCTTTGCCTGGGAACTGCTCCATATATAATTAACGCTTGGGAGACAGGTTTGCTTGCTTGCTTGTTTTGTTTTATTTGCCTCAGGTTAAACCTCCTGGTGTGGTTTAGGGGTGAGACCCAGATGCAAGTGACAGCACAAAGATGTGGCAAAGGAAGGAGACGGGGAGGAACTTCTGTTGGGCCGTGACTAATCACTGGTCCTGTGGAGTGAAGCAAGGGAAAGGCTGCTGAGTCCTCCCGAGAGCCATTCCCATTGCACGGAGGGTAGATTTGGGGAAGGGAGTTACAATGAGGGTATACTGTTTCTTTGGGGAAATTCTTGTCTATGGTCCTGCATGGCACTGACTTTTGTTTTAATGTTGCTGGTCAAGGTAAACCCTTAAGGGCAGGAGCACTGGGAAAGGAAGAAGGGAAGATATTGTCAAGACTATTTACACCGAGAAAATATCTGCATTCTTGTTTATGCTAGGCTTTTACAGTGAGATAGGTAAGAAAGTATGAAGCAAAGAATCTTGCAGGAACCAGAATAAACTTAACATTTCCCACTGAAGTCCCCGTAGACAACCTGAGCTGTTCTTCACAGCACCTGTGAGTGCAACAGGATCAGCCGTGGGGTTCCCCATGGCCTCTCCTTCTCCATCACTTCCTACAGTGACTGCATCCCCGGAAACCTTCTGACTTGCAACACCTTCAGGCCAGCTGCCAGTGCCTCCAGTGAAGGGCTGCTCTCCCCTGGGTTTGGAGATGGCAATTTCCCTGCAGGTGTGAGCAGTACAGTCCCTGCAAGTGTAATTGCACCCGTCCAAGGAGATCGGGTCACAATAAGCTTCTTGGTGTAAGAACTATACAGACAGCTTCTGCAAGCCTGAAATGTTGAAATCAGGCTGGAAAAGAAGGAAGATCCCCTTCATCTATTCAGTCAGTGCTTCTCTGGTCTCCAACTCTACCATTCAAGGATTTGCTGAAACCTCTGTGCCACATGAAAACACTGATAATGCTTTCAGTGCCGCAGGCCTCTTTCTGTAGGAAAACGGTAAAGCAATGCAAGAGGGAGGGCAACAAGACTACATGGACAGGTTTTCAAAGATCCCCAAATAATCTGTTTAATTCATGTTATCAGCTTCACCTAAGTATTCAAGGTGGGGAGGGGACTTTCTCCTCAGTGGAGATGCTTACTCAACCCACTACCTATGGGATGTCTGAGGATGGACACAGATAAGCAGAATTAATTGCCTAAATAAGGAGAGAGCCCAGGGTTTACTACTCCTCTGGTGTGCCAGAACAGTAAGTACAACTATTTGTCATTTACCCTTCTCAGCTGCTGAAGAGCCAGTAGCCTCTATGCTTCACTTGGCTGCCAGTAGCAGAGGCAGGAGGGAGGGAGGGCGGGCAGGCAGGCAGGCTAGCTCATCTGACCTCTTACCGACCTGTCTATTTTCTGAGGCGGTGTCAAACACTGCAATTTTGTTTTGATTAGTAAAATACTAAGCTGGGAAATGTATTCCCCTCTCTCTGGGCATTCTTCCTTCTCACTGAAGTTTCATTGCCTTATGAAAGGCAAGACCATCAGAGGAGAGGAGTAAGGCTCTTTACCTACCACCTGACTGAAGAATATATAGGCTCCTCCCCGCGTGCTGGTGGGAGGGTAGCAGTACAGCTCAGGTGAGAGGTGGGGACTGTGTGAGCTAGAAACCCCTGGCTGCTTCCTTAAGCCTCTAGGAGTTGAAGGCAAGAGATGATGTGCTCTCCCTTTTCCTGCTAGAGCTCTTGGGGCAACAGTGCAGCCTTTTCAGTTTCCACACTCCTGTGGGGATGCTGGAGGATGAGGGAAGTGGCTGATGGGTGTCATGAGGCTGGGTGTACTGGTGTTGCTGACTTGGGGCTCTGGATTCTTTAATCGCCAGCCCTGGCTACATTTTCTGATCTGCACAATTTTTTTTTTCTGTGCCTGTTCCTGCTCACAGGAGGGTGCGGAACCTCTTTATCTTGTGGTGTCAACGTAGTATTGATACAGTCACCTCTGCTCTCTTCCCTGGTTTAATTTGTGTTAACTATCATGTTTGCAACCACAGGGAAAGTGATTATTTTCTAAAACAGGCAGAGAGTGGCTTCTGGTTATCTTGAAGGAAAACATTCCTCTCTAGCTTGGGACTCAAGGCACCGACCTGGTTCACTGGAAAGACGAGCTGGTGCCCTGCTGAATTATTGAGCACGCACTAGTCATCAGCTTGGAAAGAGCAGCACCAGCTTAGGTCACAGGTGTGGGATGGAGATTATTAGCTTCAAGAACAGAGGAGAGTAACCAGATCTACCTCATGCACTTGGTTGCTTTGCTGCCTGGATCAGTGACACGGCTGCTTGGCACTACAACACAGATGCTCAGCTTGGTTTGGTGGCCCTCGCTGGGGCCAGACAGTCACAAAAGCCCAGCTCCACACTATCAAAGCCCCCACTCCTGTCAGAGGCAAACCCTCACTCTTAGGGCAGGTCTGGAGGAGCAGCAACCTCAGGTCACACACATGGAAACTGAGGCACAGTGTTTCGGTCTAACATTCAACTCTGGTGGCCACATTTAAACCTACATAAATGATAAGCGTATTTGCAGAGGACATGATCACCAGCAACTGCAGCAGGAGGTCCATTGGAGCTTACATGTGTGCAGCTCTTGTGAAAGACAAGTTGTCTGATTAGATTATTCAGTTCCCCAATCACACGTGTTTATTTCTGAAATTTTGGTCCAGGTTGTATGCCTGAGGCTATACGGAGAGATAACTAGGTTGAAAATAAGATGGTGTCTCCCAGCCATGCTTGAGATCTCTGAGATCCCCCTGCTGTACATGTCCAAACAAAATGGTGAATGTCCTTCTGTCCCTTCAGCTGCCTGAGTCTGCTGTATGCGAGGAAAGGACAGGATGGAGTGCAGCAGCAACACTGTGAAAAGAGCCATGCAGCTGCTCCTTGTTTGGTGACAGCTGGCACTTACCAGCACTGGCAGGTGGCTGGTGTACCCATAGGAGATGCTGCCTCATTCAAAGGGGACAATATCACTTACCCTGTATGAGGCACTCAATCCTGTTCCTGCAGGAACTTCTACCACACCCTCCCAGAGTGATCTTGCACACTTTTTCTGCTTCGTCTTGCTTTAATGGTAGATTAGTTTATTACCAGAGGAGGCCTGCTTTATCTGTAAACATTTATTTCTGTACTGCCACCTTCTCATTACAGAGAATTCATTACTAAGCTCATATAAGACAAAGCAGTATGATGAACACCCTGTAATCTGGCTCATTTTGGCTTACAGCTTTCCCAAGAGGGCCTCTGACATCCCCCTCTGAATGTCTTATTCCATTTTAGAGTGACAGTGATAGAGCAGCACGAGGACGCCAGGGTCTGCTTATTATTTTGTTGATAAGTACGGATGGTGGGGTGAGTCTGCCTGTGGACCTTTTCAGATGTAATCTCAGTGCATTGCTCACACTCAAGTGAGGTTACAAGTCAACAGCAGCTCGAGCCATTTGAAGAGCCATTAGGACAAGTTATATTCTCTTTCTCTCTTCCGCACACCTATTCTTTGACCTCTGGATCCTGTGCTTCATTAATTCAGCTATGCTGGCAGAAGATTAACAAAGCAAACCCCATCTTTCATGTAGAGTTGAACTGAACTGCTCAACAAAGAGCACCAGAGTCAGCACAGGGGATGGAGGAAGGGGGCAACTTCCCTGCCAGCCCTTCAGCTGCTGCAAATTTTTGGACTGACTCAGGGATGCCAGGTAACTTGTCTCATAAGTCTGGTCCTTTTACCCTGGTCTTAATGCCAGCCTGTCTGGAGTTCCATAGGACCAAAGAAAACATAGGTTGTTTTCTCCTGTTAAAAAATGTCAGTCCTTGATCACCAAAATAGAGCACTTCTATTTGGAGACGGGAACTTGACACCTGGCAACGTATGTCCTTTGGTCCACAGTTACCTTGTGAAAATCTGCTCATGTTGGGCCAGCATATTAACCTTTGAAAAGTCAATAATTGTAAATACATATTCAATGGATTTTGCAAGGTTTCTAACAGTTAAGAATCTCTGAAGAATCTGCATTCACTGAGTATGCTCTGAGCCTCTCACAATATGGATTTTTCTGGGAAATTCTGATCTAAATAAGACAGATTTAGGAGTAAGATTATAGAGAGGCTACAGCCAAGCAGTGAGGAAAAATGGGTAAAGCTGCTTAAATTGAATACCTGACAGCTGTCTCTGATTAGAAATTTCAGGCTCTGAAAAGCAGAGGAGAGGATTATCAGTTTCAGGTATACTTTAATACTTTATCACTCACTGATATGGAAGCAAGTTTCAGGATCAGCATTTTGTGGGATTTTCTGTCAGAAAAGGATTTTCATTTTTGCTCAAATTCAGGATGAAAAGAAGGGATGGAATGGTCGTGATCATTTTTCTACCACCCTGTGTACAAGATGTTGGTGGCTGGCTGCACCACCATCCCTCTGGGCATAAGAATGTGCCCTTGGCAGGGTGTCTGGGTACGACTTCCAGAGGAGATCAGCCCCCCTGCAGATTGCCCCGTGCTGCCTGGCAGCAGCTATCAGTGGGACAAGGGTTGGTTGCTTTTCCTTTGGTTTATCTAGTTCATGGTCTTCAAATTGGAAATACCTTGGCTGCCAGGAGCACCAGAGACTTACTTGCTTTTTCCACATAAATCATGAGACTGGAGTGGTTGGATCTGCTTCATGATGGAGGGTCTCAGCTGGTTTGTCCATTTGATAGGGCAGCTCCTGGGCAGGTCGCCGGAGGCCTCTGGGAACAGATGAAAAAAGAGGTGTGATACAGCGTCTAGAGGCAACGCAGGTGTCCCAGTGCCCTGACACCCCTTAAACACAGCCACCCTCATTTCTGGTCCTCTGAACAGTGCTGCTCATGTGTATCCTTCTAAAATGGCATAGGGCAATAATGCTGCCGACCTTTAACCTGTCTTCCAGTAAGAAAAAGATTGTAAACCAAGCAATGATAATGTATTATAAGATAGCAGTTTATGATGCTTCAGCAGGTGAACCTGTTTACCAGGAATACATTTCTGTAGAAAGGAGATAGTGCTATATCCCTAGGCAGGCCTTCCCCTGTGGTGTTAGCATGTCAAATACTGTACTTTGTTTTTAATAAGAACACAGACATTTTGTTTTATCTCAGAAACACCTTGATCAAATGATCTAAAATTCAGGCCACTGGGATTGCTACAGAAATTTTTGAGAAAGCTGGAATAAATTTACAGGTGTAGAACAATGTAAAATGGGACTACTGAGACTAAGTTTGGCTTGCAGTGTCACTGACCTAGTATTCCCACTCTTGTAAAATAGGGGATGTAGCCGCCTGACTCCAGACCCCTTCTTATCTGTGCTGGTCCAATGCTTTAGCTGGAAAATGCCAAATACACCACTTCAGTGGGAGCTAAGCCCCGTAGCTGCAGGCAAAGTAGTTTACAGAGGCTCGTGGAGCTTGAACACGGCAGGATTCAATGCATTATGCATGGTTTAACCCTCTGGAATTGCACATGCACATAAGTTATGCCTGTAGGAAAACAGTCATTTAAAACCATCTTCTTCCCCACCTCTTGGAGCTGACTTGTGTTAAATATTAACAAACTCGGTTCATCAATTCCCTGGTTCACTTGGCTTCTTTTAACAACAGATGTTATTACAACAACTCCTCCGCCTGGCTCCCTGCTCCAGTCAACACAGCCGATGGTGAAACCCAAGAATCTGCCACTGTAACTCTGCCTGCAGAGCCTGGCTGCTGCCCTGGCCCAGTATTCTCCCCCACCTCTCTCCCTGGGATCACTGATGCTTGCTGCCTTGGGCGTCTGAGAGGAGCTTCTGCTGTGAGCCACCAGTTGCAGAGAGGCATTGGTTAAAGGAGACGGAGAAAAGGAGCGAGGGAGCCCACAGGAAAGTGAGTTCCTGCTATCAGAGGAGGGAGAGGAGAAAGTGGTGAGCATGGCCAGCAACTCCAGCGCACTGCCACGGGTGACTTTCCAGACACCAGAGAAACCTGGGGAGGAATCATCACACAGGAAACTGGGCAAGTTAACCATAAAGTACAACCGCAAAGACCTACAGCGCTGGCTAGACCTGGAGGAATGGATCAATGCCCAGCTGCAGGAGCTGTACCAATGCCGGGTGAGTCACTGGGGCAAATCAGCCCCTCACTCATCAGGTGAATGGCACTAGAGGCCCTGTGTGCTGGGACACGAGTTTGCTTGCTCTGCCTTACTGGAAACAGCTTCTCATCTTCAGGCTTCATTAGGTATCTTATTGCCACCTGCTACAGCACCTCTCTGACTGCTGCGTCTGCAGTCAGAGGAGCTTGCACTGATATGATCCAACTAGCTTTAAACTGCCTGGTCTTGCACCTGCTGGGGTGTGTAGCTATTGCTCAGCACAAGTAGCAGAACCTCGAGAGATATACAAACCGGGATGCTGCTTGTTGCTGAGCTCCTTGCTGTGAGTGGCTCTGCTGTGAGCAGTATCTAAGCTAGCTGGGTTAGAGTTATACAAGGGCATCCTTGTTCCTTTTGGTCACAACAGTATAGCTATAGCTGATCTTTGAACGAGATGCTCCAGATAAAGCTGTATCTGTAGCTGCAGAGTCTGAATACGCTACTGGCAGCAGGGGAGGAAAGAAAAAACAGCCAAACCATGCTCAAAGAGATCTTATGCCTTCATCTTCATAAATCTGCAGAGCTGTATTCCTTTCCTGAGCTTCACTTTGCACCAGGAACAGTCCCTCCTACATTCTTCCTGCCTGTCTGAGAGCTGTCCCACTAAGAAAGAACCAGGAGTACCTCAGTCCAGCACCTGAATGGTACCAGTTTTCACTTGCGCTTGTTGCAGGGTGCATGACATTTTGTCTTCAGGGTGGTGTGACGCTTAAGTCAAGTTCCAGCACTGGCTAGGTACACTGAAATTTTAATCTGGTAGTGTCACTTCATATTTTGTGCTTAGATGGACGGTGCTTCCAGTGAGAGCTTTCAGAAGGAATAGTGCTTTTCCATGGTTGAGATAATTTGTTTGGAGTGTGGTACAGGAAAAGGTGAAAGGATTTACCACATTGTACATCATGGTCTTAATCCCATTTAAATAGCTTAACTAAGGGTTTTGCTTTTATCTGTAGGGCAATGGCTGTTGCAGTAAGAGAACATAGATTTCTTGACTCACAATCCAATATGTTGTCAACAGAAGACATAGATGGGTTTAACAAATTGCGTAAAACACTTTATTCATGTCCTGGCTGGGGATGGACTAAATGAACTGTCAAGCCCTTTCTGCCCTGTTTTCTGTATTTGCACCCCAGTGCAGTGTTAAGCATGTTTTTTGAGATACAAGGCAAAAAGAGCTGATGATTGCTTAGTCTTCCACTCTGAGCATCAGCAGTTTCAGATTGCAATCAACAGTGGAAGCGGACATGTTAGAACAGTCCAGGAAAGGCTATTTTTGTGCTATATACCATGATGGTACAGAGAAGCTTTTGCCTGCCCAGGCTGATTTTCTGGGCCTGAGAGCCATAGAACGATCTCAGCCCAAAGCTGAAGAGCCAAACTTCAGTAACTGACTCTGAGGCTGTCTTTATTATTGTTATTGCTATTTATTATTATTATTATTATAATAATAATCTTCTGTGTGACTCTTTCCTTTTTGATATTTGTGGGAACATACCAAGTTCTCAAGACATGGTGGGAAAGAAAAATAGTTATTTTCTGTTTTCATTTATGCAATATGCAAAGAACATATAGCAGAAAACAACTATGGAGAAAAAGGTCCTTCCTTCTCTCACAAATGCATGGCTCCTCTGAAAATGAGTATGTTACTGCTCCTGTTCTGTTAATTAACATTCTTAGACTTCCCAAACAATTTTATAGCTTCTTTAGTAAAAAATGACAAAGGATAAAAGCTCATAATATCTTCCAGACTTAATTGTGAATATCATCGTTTTCTATAGTTTATAATATGATAATAATTAATTCTCATCTGTATCTTAGGCCTCTTGATAATGCATTATGAAGCATTATATAGTGTACATAGGAGCAGGTGTCATTGCTAAACCTAGTCAGACTGGCAAAATTCAGTGTGTATACGAAGCGCTAGAGCAGTGGTCCTGGTGAGTGAAGGCTGTTCAAAGGAACAGTGACACTGACAGTGTCACTTGCCAACCATGCCTGCACTGGCATTTAAGGCACTGTCCCTGGGTTGGTAGCTCAGTTCAAAAACCCCTTAGCCTGACTATTGAGATTTGCCAGAGATAAGCAAGGAAAATGGCTGCTGCTTTAAGTAACAGAATATCTTGCCTTTTGGGGAATTACTGTAAATATTGTGAAGAGAAATTTTGAGGCTGTTTTTTTTTAATATATATAGATGAGAAGCACAGTAACAAGATGAGTCTCCCTGTGTGCTACTCTTACTTGCCTGAGTCTACAGATGTACACTTGTAAAGGTGTCAGAAAACCAAGTCATGTTACATTACCACTTCTGGTTTTTTGAGAATTAGGAGCCATTTACTGTCATCAGAGGAGCTAACCAAAGGGGATATTTTTTTTCCTACTACAGAACCCCAGCAGGCACAAGTGAGAAACAGAGCCATGCCCTTACAGGAACAGATTGCTGGTGGATTGCCTTTGCTAGCACCTCTCCAGCATGACACGTTTCCCAACTTCCTGGTGTATTTGGGCCAGCCTGGGAGATTTGCTACCAGGAACTACGTAACATGATGCTGTGCCAAGTCAGAGACTGTTAATAGGGTAGAACAGGGGGTTACATAGGTTCTTGTCAAATAAATACGTGTGCCACAGTAAATTACTTGTAATCACAGGTGTCCAGCAGGTCTTCCTGCTCTCCTCTGTGCATTGTAGCAAAATGTTGTTAGCCCTGCTAGTCTGGGCTTCCTTGGATCCATCTACTTCCATTACACTGTCTCTTTGTCAGCTTCTTCCTTTGCTCCACCTGCCCTTGGCAGTGCATTGTTCCTCAGTGTCTTCCAGAAACCCATGTGACAGAGTGATTCAAATGCCGGCAAGGTTAGTTGAAACGGCCTCATGATACAGATAATCCGAATTCTATGCTATTTAGTGTCATGAGGCTTTTCACAACAAAACTAAGACTCAGTAGAGTGTTTTGGTCTCGCTGCATGTGGAAGCCAGCAGATCATCCATACTAGGACCAGAAAGCCATAGGGAGTTCCTACGCTGTTTCACCCTCCTGGCTTATTTTGCTTCTCAGCTGGAGACTGAGTCAGGCTAGATCAACACCTGTTGTCTAAATAGTCACATGAAAACTATTGCTTTTAAGAAGAAATGCCGTGTCAATATATTTAACTCTGTGTTATTATTATTGTCAAGTCAGCTACATAGCCAAGCTGAACAAAAGTTTTCTACTTCCTCTCTGGGTTGGTATCAGAGACTGCTCAGAACAAGTTTCTTTTTTTCCCGTATTACCTTTATTGTTTAATGTTTTACATACACATCCATAAATGCTACCCAGCAATCAGATACTGCACTGTTTACTCAGTATCCTTATTCTGCTGATTACTATGTTAAAATATCACTAGTGTTGTGTTGTCAAACATTCATTTTGCAAATAACATTAGAAACCACAACCTGCTTTCCTTACAGTCTTGTAGAGACGTGTGGAGCTAAAATGTGTCTGTGATCGAGTTGACAAATGTTTCCAACTAACACCCCCATGCATTACAAGGTCATTATTCCACTCACCAAAGCTTGGGATCTCCCTTACATTAAAGGAGACTATTATATCCCTCTCATGTCTGAGAAAGCTGGCAAAATATTGTTGGGCCTTTCAAAAGTGTAATTGTTTTTCTCTCTGTTACTGCAAAAAGCCTTAGTATAAATACCAACTACGTGAATGTATTTAGTCTAAAAGCCTAAAATCTCCTTGTATTAGTTGTGCCTAAGATCAAGCCTGCTGGATTTCTGTTTGGTGAACGCTTGTGCATGCTCTTCACAGATGAGGGTTGTCCCAGGCTGGCTTACACTGCATTGTAGTTGGCAATTGCAGTTGGCTATTCTTGAAAGGGTTTTCCCATGATGGACAACAGTCCTTGAGCAGTGGTATCAAGTGTTCAGGTGGGAAAAGAGGAAGAATGTGTACCTCAGGATGTGTGGCTGTGGCAGATACTATAGAGCAGCTGTAATCTGTGCCCTCTTTCTAAGAACATCCTTATTTTGAGATGATTTGTATCTTGGCCTCAACTTTGCAGCACAGTTTTATTGTAACTGTTTTTTTCTCAGCTGCTCAGTTCTGTAAAGTTCAAAGGTTTATTAACTGTCTTGATTTTTTTTCCTTTTATTTTTTCTTTTTTAGCTAAGAGAGGAAACAGAGGCAGCAGCTCCTGAACCACAAATTGATCTTGAAGATCTCCTGGAGGTCCCTAATGAAGAACAGAAATTAAAACTACAGGTCAGATAGAAGAACTTGGTGACTTTAAGTTAGGGACTTCATTCATAAAGAGAACTAGTGGTGTGTGGGGTACATAATATACGTATACAATGTTGCATGATGCTTCCCTGTGTTTTAGCCTGTCAAATGCAGTAAGATTATGTACCCTTTTTATAGGGAGGGGAGAACAAGTCAACTCATAAAATACTGAAATGACTCCTCCTTGATTTTCTAGGAAATCCTCCATGAGTGCTCCAGCCCAACAGAGGTGAGCAAAGCACCATCCATATATATGTGTTATACTGTGCTGTAAGAGTGTGTCTTTGTTGCTGCTTGGCTGAATCACCAAGATATTACTGTGCCTAACATGATGCTGCAGATTTGTTTCTTTCCCAACGGGAGGTGTTTTCCACTTAATCCTGCTGTGTTAGGAAAAATACATGTAAATCTACATGGGTGAGCTGCAGGAAGAACAATGGCCCAAATAAGGAATTATGCTTTACAACCAAATAAAGTTCATTCCATGTTTTGGACATCTGAAGCTGACCAGGCTGAGTTGCTATTTGGTTCTCAGTGTAGAAAAGCCATAGACAGTGATATAGTGCCCATAATCATCTTGCACACTGTTAACCAAATGTATTCTTAGTTTAAACCACTCTAGTGTTATGAGTGACAAGAATGTAGGATGGCCTTCAATTGGACTGGGCAGGTAATTGTTGAGCAGTGGCCACATAAGTTAGTTTTACATGTGGGGGTTTTTTTCCCATGTGAACTTTATAAGTACTGGTTTTGAGTTAGAGAGTTAAAAGAAATCCCACAAGCTGTCACAATGTCCAAAGGAGTGGAGCCCAATACTTAGCAGAAGAAGTGCATGCACCACACAGCAGTTGCCTGCACTACGCTGCAGACCTGGGACCACTGCCTCAGTCACAGGCACCGCATGTGAACATTGTGCTGGGACATCATTCATTGGTCTCCACATGTTGTGGAGCCTATGTACAGTGATGAACGTACAGAAAATGAGGTGGATGCATGACTGTCACTAAAATTAAACTCGGCTGTAGCAATCATTGCAGATTGTTTCCTAGCAGGATTCAGCAGACAAGGCTAGCAACAGGGAAATAATTTTCAGTGTCTGAATTTCAGATGTTAGGCAAGAACCCTACGTTCCCAGAGATAACTGAAAAGAGTTTGCTCTACTGATTCATGAGCCATCAAAGTGTTCTGCAGACAGCATGGCATTTGGTAAATACAGATACTGCTGCCCCACTGGCAAAAACATGTGCTTTTACCCTGGTGATCTTGAATCTAGTCCCCTTGAAACAGCAGCCTGTTTTCAGAAAGTACAGAGAGGAAACAAACTGGTTTCCTCTGGAGGAACTGACTGAAAAGGTGTGTATGATCCTAGGCATTTACTTCCAAAGCATGCTGTGGCAAGCAACCTCTGATCATCCAGGTGAGGAAGCTGGGCTTCCACACAGTACAAATGGTGACAAGCTGCAATACTTCCAGTGACCTTGCCTAATTACAAGGACATGTAGCTATCTCTTTGGGTGAAGAAAGGCTGCACACTCCTTTATGGTGATGTTACTTGTAATGCAGAGGGTAAATCTTGCACTACTCACATTGACTTCTGCTTGGAATAACCAGATGGTCCGGTTTAGTTCATAGTCCTTGGCTGTGTCAGCAATGTAGTCGGGGTTTATCTCTACTAACTGCTCATCTATCTGCTCTGCCTGTCCTCAACCTCTGCTCCAGGTTATCATTAGTCCTGCTGTGTGTTTTGCTCCACCTCTTCTCTGCCAGCCACTTCCTTGTAGAATTGGCACAGCTTTGAGATGGTTTGCAATCCACAACACAGAGCTTTACAGGTTCAACAAGAGGGACAGCTTGCTTTGCCCTAGATTGGGAGGGCAGCAGAAGTGGGCAGGAGGTTATGGTGGCAACAGGAAGCAGTGGAACCTAACAGAGGACAACAGCATCCTAGGTCATCTCAAGGTGGAAAAGCAGGTATCTGGGATGAAGAAGGGCAGGCAGGCTTCTGGAGAGAAAGTCAATACGGCTGCTCCAGAGGGAGATAGGGGAAGGGAAGTAGAGAGGCTTTCAGACCCTTCTCATCCATCAAAAGGTCTCCTTTCCTAAGCTAAAAGATAGGTTTGCTCAATACATTTGAAAATGCTAGTTTCTGCTCAACTTGAAGGCAAATGTGGGAATAATGCAAGTGACATAGTACTCTCTGGGCTGGTGAGCACTGAAATTAATGTGACATCCTTCTTCAAACAATTCTCATTGTAGGACTTCATTACGGAATTGCTCAGTCGATTGAAAGGTCTCCGGAGAGTCACCAATCCTCAGAAGAAATGACCTTGCCCACATGGGACACCCAGCTTCAGTCACAGGAAACGTGTATCTTCCCCACAAAAACCAGGATCAGCAACATCACTTCAGAATATGTTTAGGACTTACTGTTATTGAGAAACATCACCAAGTTTGTGAACTTTGTACCAGTGGTTTGATGTCTCCACTCCTTCCAGATCTACATACACAGCAGGGAGCTAGATTGTACATTTTCCTGATTCTTAAAGGGCATGCTAACCTGGGGAACAGGACAAGATGTCCTTCCTTTAGTTTCTTCTAGGAATTTCCATGCTGGCTGAGGAGCACTGAATACAGTTCTCAGGAGCTCATCAAGACTTCTTTCTTTCCGTCCACTGCAAGGAAAACAAGGCATTGGTTATCACTCATTCATCAACATGGAAAATCAGTTACTGTTAAGCTGCACCCTGTTTCAGTCTGGCTCGGACCCAGCTGTGATCTCCTGCTTGTTACTGCTGTACCTGACTACAGCATTGCAAATACTTTGTAAGTCGTACTAAGCCTCTGTTATTCATGAAGGTTGAACAGAAAATATACAGTAGGATGGAAGGAAAATGTTCAAGTGCACCTGGTCTACTTTAGGGGAAGTTAGTGAAACAACTGCTAAGGCTAATGGAAGAGAGATTGTTTTTCCTTTTTGTGGAATTTAGGACTTAATCTAGCAGCAAGGTCTGGGAATGAATTTTCTCGTAATTTAAAAAGATATTGGGAAAATGCTTATTTTATATATTAAAACAGGGAAAAACAGTCATGCACTGCTTGCTTTTGCTCTTTTTTTCAACTAAAGAAAAACTGAAGTGAAAAATACCTACTCCCAATTTCCCTGCAGGGAGCATCTCAGAGCAAGTCTTTTGCAGACAGGTAGGTCTTCCAAATGAGAAATGAAGTCGGACACGTTGTCTTGCTGCACAAACTCTTCTGGGCAGAACTAATGTATGGCTGGAAAAATACAGAGGAAACTACATCCAGCCTCTCAGCAAGTCAGTAACTTGACACATGTGGCTAGGAAATACTACAGCAAATGGAGGCTGATTGCTTAGGCAGAGCAAACTCTCACTGTGTCCTGCCCCTATGCTCTCATGCCTGCGACTCAGACACAAGAGATGAGTTGCTGAGCTGCACCCAGAGGGGTTCCTATGTACCAGTATGTTCAAGGTTAGCTTTTGAGTACATTTTGTCAGACAGGGACAGAAGGAGCCAACTCTGGAACAAAAGGGACATGCAGGTTAGCTAACAAACAGGGACTCTTGGGCTGGACAACGTATTTGGACTTAAATACATTAGTCTTTTTCATCTTAAATACATTAATCTTTTCATCTTTATCAGTAACAGGGTAACAACTATTACCTTTTGCTTCCCTCATATTTTCCAGCAGAAGTGTCAGTGGACAAGCTGTGGGCTGTGCACATCTCTGAGAGGACAAAATCCAAGCTGCAGTAACAACTGTGATGTAAGGGCTTGCTCCCCTTCACATGCTGTTCCTGTATGCAACAGCCTCCTGGAAGTTAGCAAGCCATGCAGCTCACACCTTGTCCTAAGGCTGCTCCCAGAGGCTCTAAGCCTCACCCACTAGGTTGGAGAAATGGTCTTTCTTTATCAGGTCCATGTGTATCTATTGTAGCCCTAGGGACATGCCATTTTTGGTTTAGTAAGGAGCTAATAGGACATGCCTGTCCTCCTGGAATCTCAACTTTGTGAGTAAAATAAGAAAATTAAATCCAGAGCTGCACCAGCTGAGGACGTGGCATTGCTCATGGACTGATAACCTGCTAACACTCTTCAGAAAGGAGAGCAGCCCACTGACAGAGCTCTGAGCACTGTTAAAAACACAGACTAAGTTCAAACAGAAGTTCAGGTGGAAGATCTAGGTGGACAGGCCATGAGCTGAGTGTCCTAAACTAGAGCTATAATTAGCCACAGCATAGAAATCCAGATTAATTACGTACCCTATGAGGAAGCTTTGTTTTATTCTGCTGAGCTGTGATAGCACAAAGACCTGAGATGCCTCTCCTCTGGCCCAAGAGACAGATCTTCTCCACGCTGGGCACTCTTCTGTATTCCCTCAATATGGAGTGATGCAAAGATAATTTTTGTCTATGCTTTAAGGCAGACATTATTAACACTCAGGAAAAAGCAGGCTCTTGAAACTGCTTGACAGAAGTTGCCTCTGCATTTATTCTGCAAGTAGCAGAAAAAGAGTAAGCTGCAGCTCCTATGACGTGGAGTTGGTTCTGATACATAAGGACATTACTACCACATGAGAGTGCTTCAGATGAGCACGGTGTGATCATGGGGAGCAAAGCAAGATGTGGCCAGTGCTGTCATCTGACTTCTCAGCTCACTAGTGCAAAAGAAAAGGCAACATAAAGCAATCAGAACAACTTCTTTTTATGTAGTTCTTCAAAGAAGTAAATCGTACTTGCTTTTATTTACTTTTTGGCTGTTTTCAGCTTAGACTATGACAATAGACTAAATTAATTTTTTTTTTTAACAAACAGCTTCTGGTTAACTTTGCTGTTTCTCAGCACCATCACTAGCATAAGGCTGTACTGTTTAGTATACAGATACCATGTAAGAATGTTTCTTTAAAGGAACTTTGTCCTCTTGATTATACCAAGGTAACTCAGAATGTATGGAAGTTCATGTGCTTTCCTAATGGAAGGTTTATGAAGGCGTATAAAATAAACCTTTAATGCAATTTTTCCCTAGTTATGATCAACACCTACATTGCCTTTAAAAATATTCTGGCTGTGACACTTGGACACATGACCATGTTACAGCATTTGAGATGCTCATGAACCACAGCAATTGCAAGTAAATGCACTTTAACTAAGTGGGGACCTCTCTTGTAAGCTAATCTGAGTTCAATCTTGTGTTATCATTGTTTTGAATTCTTGTTGAGATGGAGCCTACATCTGATAGTTCACATACAAAACATTTTGAGGGAAAGAAAATCTTCTTGTACCCTCATGGCATGCTACAGACAGAAGCTGATTCTCTTTCTTGAAGATCCCAAGCTCTCTTCAGTCTTTGAATGGCTACAATTGAAGTTGATCTTGCCTTGTTTACCAGCACCTTTTCAAAGACAAGGACAGCCAGTAAGCAACACAGCTAAAAGTGCACTGCCCACTTAAAGGTCACACAGCATTCCTCTTCACAATGACAGATTCAGCTAGGTTTGCTTCCTGCAGTCAGCTGATCTAGATTCCCCTTCTACCCCTCCTACCTGGAGGTCTCTGAGGCAACAGCTGCAGTGGGGATGGCTTTGCAGGGGAAAGTGATTGGGCTGTCACTAAAATGGCCAATTACATGCAGAAAGCTCAGCAGCCACAAAAATGTCCATTAGTGGTACAGGGAAAGCATCAGCATGTGTGTGTATGACTGAAGAGACTCTTCCATGTATGACTAAGTGCTATTTCAGGTATTGGGTTGGGTGCACTTCTGGATTCCTTGGGATGGCCTGACAGAAACCAATCTGGGAAACTAAACAGACTGCTTCCGGCTGTAACCTGCTCCTTTATTACTGCTGTGAACAGGGTAGGGCTTACGAGACACAGGCTGCCTATCTGCACAAGGAGCGTGAAGTTTAGTTGTGGCTGATGAAGCATTCAAAATGTTGCAAGTAGCACATCAGCTTACACTAAGATATTAAAAGAAAAAAAAGCAGCTGCAGAGGAAGAATGAAAATGTCTACTGCTTGGAAAGGACACAGGCTGAAGCCCAAAGTTGAGGATCAGTCTTAGAAGAGGTATAAAACCAGGTATTTGCATCTTCTCCCATACATGCAAAACACGAAGGATTTAACCCAGGACAGAACTGGGCTATTATCAGACTAATTAGGCGGGTCAAATAGCAATGAAAAAGCATCATTCCTACAGTAACACAAAGCCAGAACAGCATTTTGTTTTCATTTTTACAACTGTAAGCTCCTCAGGGCAGTAACTCTCTGCTTCAGTTTTGTGTAAGACAGGGCTCATTGTGAGCTCTTGCACCAGAACAACTTAAGTAGTTTTCCTGTCTATCTGTCCCAAAGAGGCAGGCACTGGTGAAGCAAGGACTGCCAGGAGAAGGAAGATCCTCCACATGAGTCAGGTTTTGCCACCCCTTCCTAACAAAGTGTTTTGAATGCACTGCTTGATACACTTGGATTTTTAGGGTGCTAGCCTGCAATATTACTATACTACATTGTCTGATCCAGGTTTCTGTTGAAGGGCCTGATCCAGTCCAGCATGTTAGCACAAATCCACATTCAGCGGTAGCTTTATTTATTTGCTGTGCTCTGTCCAGGGGTGGCTGAGTCGCAGGTGAACACTGTTTCATCAACTCCCCTACCGAGGCAATGACCTTAAGCACAGGGGCAGGGCAGACAGCTGGGAGTGGCAGTGTCAAACCAGATAGGCAAGATTCATTGGAAACTCCCTGTCAAAGACAAATCCTTGATTTTTTTTTGCCATTGGAATTTCTAAGCCTTAGAGAGCTGTCTCATTAGTCCTGGGAAGAGCTCATCCTGATGCGATATTAAAGCAAATTCAGGGCAAACTTAGTTGGATATTTGAAGCAATTCTGGGTCCTTTGGTTACCAGCAAGTGCCGCTTGCATCTGGACTGTCTCCAGGGAGGCATATGAGTGTATAAAACTGAGCTCCTTTCACAGCCAGATAAAGAGCATCACACAGGTAATGTCTTTATCCTACCAGTGGACCAAATAATAGACAGAGCCAAACCCTGCTTTCAGACTAATATGCTCTTCTTACAGACCACGTGGAACTTCGACGCAGCCACTGCAGATCACAAGGCTGTGCATCTAAAGCAGATTACCTTTACAAATCATCCTTCGTTTAGAGTACATCAGCCACACTGCCCATCCAGGCAGTGTAGCCCCTGCACCTTTTCCAGCCACATCACAGAAACATTTTTGACGACTTCACAGATCCTTCATTTTCCTTAAGCCACTTGACACTAGGACTAACATACCATTACAAGAGGGCAACACTTTGCAAAGGGCTATCAGGCGTTTCCAGGAGAGACTTTAACCACAGGCCTCCGTAAATAGTTTTTATTATGCTTTGGAAGTTCTCAACACACATGTGATCATGATGTAGACAGTTTTCTTAGTGCAAAGTGCTTTTCTGCCTGTTAAACCAGTGTGTAAGCTGTTAGCAAAAGCAGGAAGTTACTTATCAGCCAGTCAGTACTGCCTTACACATCTTTACTGCTACCCACATTGCCTTACCCTCTGTATTTATAGACTTGTATCCACCTCCTCATATCAAGTCCTCGTTTATCCCCAAGCATGCACAGCAAACCCTGCACTTCTCTGGCTGTATTTGTGAGGACAAAGTCACACGCCCTCCAAGCCTCTCTCAGATTACAGCACATCCTTTAACTGTCCAAAACATCACCCATTTTGGCTGCAATTCCACTTGGCCTCTTCCCATCTGGCCGACTCCTCTCTTTTCCCATTCTCCATCCCTTTTTCTGCCCATGAAGAGTGTGATCACTTCTGCTTGCAAGGAAAATAATAGCGGGAGGTGTGGTGATCCTTCAGGTCAAACTCATCATGGCCTTCCCTGAGAAGTAAACACAAAGTGCAGTCAGAAGTAAATACCCAGGCAGGGAACTCACCCTTAGCCACTGCGCAAGATGTCTCCCAGCAGCCCTTAACTAGAAACATATCCCAAGGGTTAGCTGTGAGGACCTGACTGGCATCTCTGGAATCTCAACTTTGCTGACAGCCACGTGGACTGACTACTTAAGATATTTGCTTATAACAGAAACCTCTGAGGTGCTTTGTGGAAAGGTCTGCTCATCCTTGCCTGCTGGAATGGGAAATGACAACAGGTCCCTGTGTCTCTTTCTCTCTGAGAGATTCATGTAACTGGTGGCTCATTTCAGCACCACGTCTGTGATTTCCAGGCACATTAGCAACTCCTATGAGAACAGTCAAAATGACAGTCTGCTCCACACAACTTGGAAAACTAACTGTTGTGGCTAAAATACAGTGTATTGACAGCTGTCTAAACTATGCTCAGAAGCAGGCAGTGTTGAGTAAGACACAAGCTGCATCTGCAGCATGCAACTGATACACTCACTCACCTGCCAGACTGCTGATTCTGCTTCTACTGATTTTTGCTGTCTGACACTTTTGTTTGTCTGTTTTGTTTTTAACTAACATTGCCAGTCAAATGTTTTCTTACCATTTTCATATGTTCTCTCCCACTCCATTTCCATCTCTCTACAAAAACATTTGCAGGAAATGAGAGACTATACACAAAAGCATGTCTTAATTTCCCAACCAGATTCTTAGCATCCTGCTGTCTAAATGTCATCCAGCACTACACTGAGAACTCAGCCAACTACCTAATACTTTTGAGGAATATAAAAGAGAAGCCACACAATCTGTATGAGCAACTAACCCTCCAAACCTGAGACATGCAACCTTTTTGTCAAAAATCAAGCTACAGATTTTTAAGAATCAGAACTATAGCTGCTGCAAGGCCTGAATGAGGAAGAAAGGTTCACCCATATATATTTCAACATAAATCAAAGATTTTTGGTTTAAGTCTGCAGAGTCTCAACCTAAGGAAAGCCTCAGGAATCTATGCTATCTGATTTCTCCTCTTATGGGAATCCAGCCATAGGAGTCGCTGAACAATAGTCTCGCTTATCCCATCCCACACAGTGCAGCATATCAGCTGCTTCAGAGAACACTCAGACAATGTGCCCAAACATGCACTGGAGAATATTTCCGCCTAGGACCAGTTGAGTCCCTGAAGCCTGGGATAACTACTGATTGCAAAAAGTATTTCCGTAACGATTAGCATTCCGCTCAGATCTGGGTTCCTCAAACCTTCCCTCCTACTGCCTGCTTTTCTGCCTGATGGGAAGGACAATCAAAAGCAGCCAAGCTTACCTGTGACCCGCCTCTCAGACCAAGAGGAATTGTGTGACTTACCGAAAACAGCGCTGGCAGTAGAGGTCCCCATCACAGCCATGGCAACGCAAAGTAGCATCTTCGTTGCAGATACAGCACCAGGGTAACTCATCCTCATCACTGTCATCTGCCCTGGCAAGAGCTGTGGTAGTTGGAGCATGGCTCTAATTCACAAAGAAAACAGAGACATAGAATTCAAATGCCAGCAGAGACAATACAGGACTTTCATTGTAATGCATGGTGGTCACAATGACATGTCACATGGTTCATAGTTCACTCTCTATTGATACTGAGTCTGAGATGAACTTGCCTAGAGACCAAGGATAGGCTCCATTCATATCTAGATTATTAAATAAAAACCCAAGGTACTCCCTATCATTTCCTCATGAATCTGTGTTGCTCAGAAGGTAAACAGGTATTGACCCTCGTTTAGTGTCTACAGCAATATATACCAACATTGTCCATACTGTGTTAAGGGCATGAAGCCCAGATATTCTGGTAGCACCACAGCAATACCAAATATGACTGACAATCCCTGCTGCAAAAGCAATCAAGCAGTTCTGCTGAAAGCGGTTATGAGGGAAGGGAGAGCAGTGGGAAGGTGAGGGGTTTGTTTTCGCCCTGTTATAGAAAGAAAACTGAGGGACAAAGGAAGTGATCTGCCAAAAGGCCCCTATCATTGATCTGTAGCTGAGGTTGGGCCAAAAATATATTCTAAAATCATAATCTAAAAATCTATCCATAAGGTCATCTATTGTCTCCTTCGGCTTTACAGAGAAGTATTATGGAACTGAACAGACATACACACACTAGGACACAGTGCCTGGACACTAGCAAAGGCAGCTTCCTAACACAACAGCAATAAGATGACACTATCTTTTACATCAGTAAGTCCAGAAGCGCAAGGTGGCATATCTATGAGATGGATGTTTTCAGTAATGCTTACAATTAAATAATTTCTTCCACTGCGGACAGGCCTGTCAGGTGTCTGTGAGTCACAGGTCCATTTAATTTGTGTAATATATATTAGAGAAGGTGTATGTATTTCCATAATAGGCTGGAATCCACCCGAGCATAGGGTATCTTGTTACTAATTCCTTCCTCTGATGTTACATGAGAATACAGACAGTCGATTACTATCTAGAGGTTCTATTCTGCACATGCTGAAAGCCCTGGCAAACCTCCCACTTACCCTGGTTCAGGCTGTATCGTACTAGACTATGGCCTTCTTGGTCGAAATATATTAGTGAGTTAAAAATCCCTTTTCTAATATACATCTTGAGAGGTCTGTGCTAACTTCTCTGGGTTTAGAGGACACCATCCCACTCAGCATAAAGCCAGCTTGAAAGCAACTGTATTCCAGGGAGCAATTCCTTTTAAAAGTATATCCTTTTAAAAGTAAAAAGGATGACTCACAGCTGTGCTCAGGGCTGGTCAGCCTTGCAGAAGCCATTCTGCTCATTTGCTCTGGAGAAGCTGGTTGAAGTTTTTTTTTGTCCTGCATCAAGCCTAGGATACAGCAAACTTTTGCTGCAGAACTGTACTTTCCTGACACACTGGAACATGTCATTTCAAGAGGTCCTGACCAGCTCACTGACCTTTTGCTTTGCTTTCATATGCAGGTTCTGTTGTGAGGGTCCTGTTTGGGTGGTCTGATCTGGAGGAATGTTGAATCCACTTGCTTCATCCAGGGCTGCTTCCTCTGTGAGCTGGTAACAACAAAAAGCAAGAAGCCTCTTGTTTCAAACACAGTGTAAGCCTCATTCTAGACTCTAAACCTCCTGCCCTTCTCTCAGGCAGTAACAGGAGATGACAAGTCTGAATACAGCTGGTGTTGTCCAGGCAGACATGACCTTGCTCTGCGCTCTGAACACTGTGTGTACATTGTGAACAGGCAGGGTAGCAGCAGGGGCTTTCAGCTAACACACCGTGCTTTGCAGTCCAGCTATCAGCAGACCCTCCACACCACGCTAATCACAGGCATGTGGTCTGTAATCATGCAGAAATTTAAGCACAGAAAGCTTGTGTCTACCTCCAAGACAAATCATAGACATTCTAGAGAGAAATCTAGGCATAAGCTGTGCTAAACAGCACACATCTCATCACCCATGTTCCAGTTGGGTGGGGGAGAAGAACAAGGAAGCACCAGAAGAGCAGGGTTGGAGAGGACACATACCACAAGACACACCAAGCATGTATGAGAAAGACAACGTGACAGACTAGAAGTAATGTCATCAATCACCTGTAGCTTAATGGCCCATGGGAACTAGTACTGGAAAAGCACTAGGAGGGGAAGGAATGAAACTCTGCCCAGGACCAGAAACACATCCTTTGCACATTCACCAAGGAACATACACACTGGAAAAAACTGAGAGCAAGAAAAACAAGGCCACAGCTGCCATTTCTGACCTGTTTTAGCACTCGGCGAATGGCTTCCTCCTCAGCCACTTCCTCATCACTGTCTGGGAGTTTATAGGTTTCCAGTGTAACTGCAGGATAAGAGACAGGAGACTGTAACCCACACCTGCCTCAAACCTTGTGCCCATTTATGTGCTGGAGGCAATCCTTTGTGGCGAGAGCTGGTTTTGGCATTCTGGCACAGACAGATTTTTCAGATGGGAACTCCTCAAAAAGGGTGTACTGTTTGTTTTTAATACTGGAAGAAGGAAGGAAAAAATTCCTCCCAAACCCAGAGATTTGCTTTTTAAAGCTCACCAGAGCATGCTAGAACTATCTCAAAGAAGGGTGCAAGACAAAGCAGCCTGACCTTACAGCTCCAGCCTTACCCTCAACTAAGATCTTTTATAATGATTTTATGATGATCCAACCTGTATGGCTTTACAGACAACCAAATCTCAGTCAGTTTCTGAAAGAACAGAGGAATTAAATGGATAAAAGTCTCTCAGAAAAAAAAAAAATTACTCTGCCACAGGAACTTGGTTCCTCTCTTGGCATTGTATTGTTGTCTGCTACCCACCTTTCTCTGGGTCCTCGCCTCTGAGCACTGCCAGTCTCTTGGCAACTTGTAGGATTTTTTCCTGCCTAGTGTTCTCTTCCCGCAGCTCAGCAGCAGCTTCTGCCAGAAGTTTATTCTTCTCTTCCTCTAGCTGTTTTGGGTCCAGATTTGCAGGGCAAACACAATCTTCACTCTCCCGATTGAGATCATTCAAACTTTGGCTACTAACAGCTGCAAATAGACACAGAGAACATGCTGGTGACTCAGCAGCAATGTTCCTTGGGCACAGACAACACGACTAAAGCAATGATATGAGAGTGAGCTAATCTGTGGTTTACAGTGAGATTACAGAGAAAGCACTGCAGCTAGGAAGATAATAGTATCCCAAGGTTGTGATGTTTTGTAACAAAGCACAGGTGTGTTAGGAGTAGCAACAGTTCCTCCCCACGGATGGGTCACCTCAGAGAAACAGAGAGGAGTGATCCGAATAATACAACCTTGAGAAGAAGAACCATCTCCAGGCAAAGACAGTGAGACCCAGTATGGAGCTGGATGACTGCTCTTGGTCAGTTTGGGAGTCGTAAGGGGAGATAAGGGAAAACTGGACATGCAGCTCATTTGTAGGCTAGACATATTCCCTTCTCACTATAGCACCTACACTATCAGACAGAAACAGGTCTTTGGAACCCAGAAGAGATACCTTGAGGCTGGGCTCTTTGCCTGTAATGCTCATCAATGGCAACTTCCTCAGACAGCTGGGTTAACAGGTCATCTGTCTGCTGGACCAGACTTCTGGTATCAGGAGGTTGGTGTACCTAAGAAACAAGGAAGGCACAGGAAAAAGCACATGAGAGGAAAGTGGCATACTCAATCAAAGGAGAAGTTTGGTAACTAAGATCACCCTAGATGGGAGCAGCATAAAAAGATGCATCCATTGATCTTGAGAGTCTCAGCTTGCAGTTACCTGGTGTAGGACTTTCAGGGCTTCATTCTCAGGTGCTGAACACACACAACTAAAAGCAGTTACCCAAACAAGGCAAAGTGGTGCTGAATGTATAGGATATGCTGCTGGGTCCCAACCCCAGCTCTGCCATTACCTCAAATGTAAATGAAGTGCCATTCTCAACAGTGCCAGCCAGCAGCCTTGTCAAGGCCAATGGTAACAGCTGGTGTGCAGCACTGCTGAAAAGAAGCATGAGAAATGATTCCTCGGGGACAAGATCATTCATATAGGCTTTGAAGGCATATGTCCAATTCATTCCTCTGCAATCTCAGACTAACCACTCTGTGCTTCCATTCCCAGAATAATTAACAAGCTTTTGGCCAGCTGGGATGCAGTAATAACTACAAGATACAATTAGAAGGTAGGGTTGATAAGCTCCAAACACAGACAAACAGCTCTAAAAAAAGATCACTTAGGTATACAGATGGGCTGAGAGGAAAAAAGTTAGCATCTATTGTTAAAAATAAACACATGAACTACATTTGACGTAAAGGAACATACTGCATTCAAATTGAAGCAGTGCACTGGTAAAGGCTACCCATTTGCTTCTGGAGCAATATCACAGACAGGAAACAGATTTCTGAAGGAAGCCACCTGCACAAAAAAAGCTGAAGAAAGAATGGCTAATGTGCTAGAACACCAGTTACTGTGTCAGCTCACAATACATTGCTGGATAAAGAGCTGAGGGAGCTTACAGGTCTGGGAGCCTGGGAAGGAGGATCTCTTCCCTGCAGGACAGCCAACTGGTCCTCTATTTCTTCTGTGGATGGAACAGGCCTCCAGCAGTCCTCCTTCAGGGCAGCCAGCCTAGCTTCGATCTCAGCCTGAGTAGGGATGGACTCTGCAGTTCAGAATAACCCAAGGGAGGAGATTATTCCATTATTGGAAACAAAAGGTTTCAAATTTGGTTTCTTAAAATTGTATTTCTTGCTGGAATCAGACTGAACACCTGAGCAAAAACCTCCTTCAGTCCCTGATGTGAATGAGGGATCATACTTCAGTGACTTAGAGACCACCCTAACTGGTATCCTTTTCTTCCAAGTCCTTGCCTCCTTCACAGTTTATGTCCTATCCATAAGGCTAGTATTAGGGTAATGCCATCTGGCAGTCAGCTGACTTGGGATACTAGGGACAGGCAGAGAAATAAGTGTCATTTAAGTAGTACAGTCCATTGTTCCTCTTAATGTAATCCTAGGCGTATCAGACTGAAACCCTCCCCTCGGGTTTCAGGATTAAAGGATACGGCCTTGAGTTGCGCCAGGGGAAGTTTATATTGGATATTAGGAAAAATTTCTTCACTGAAAGGGTTGTCAAGCATTGGAACAGGCTGCCCAGGGGAGTGGTTGAGTCACCATCCCTGGCGGTATTTAAAAGATGTAGATGTGGTGCTTAGGGACATGGTTTAGTGGTGGCCTTGGCAGCTGTTAGGTTAACGGTTGGACTTGATGATTTTAAAGGTCTTTTCCAACCTAAATAATTTTATGATTCTGTGATAATCAGGTAACCACTTTGCATCATGTTCCTTCCATTTTAGCAATAACACATCATTTTTTAAATAGTTTATTCTCCCACATGCACCACAAGGCTGTCCCAGAACCTGACAGCTGTGGACTGGGATTGGAGTTCTTTTCTTCCTCTGTGAGGCAAGGCTAGCCAGAACATTATTGCACAGACTGGCACTGCTGCTGCCCAGGACAACGACCCACAGGAAATCTTCTGCATAACAGTTTGGCCAAAGACCCTCATTTCATTCTGCTCCTAGTGGGCTTCACACAGGTTTTTACCCCAAACAATGAGAAATGAGAAGGTGGTTTTACAGATAAGATACTACCCCAAAACTGAGAAGCAGTTTCAAGGGAAAACCCAAGAAGCAAAAAGAAGCTGGAATGTTAATCTAAAATCTTTGTAGATTTTGGCCATTGTTGCAGCAGGATGTGGATGCTCTGTCCAACTTTAACCCTAAAAAGGCAGGCTCTGAAAGCTCAGCACTTCCCTCTCCCTCCAGGTTCCATGTTTCCCAAGTAGCAGTTTTCCCACCCAAGAAATCTCTGGTATCCTCCAAAACTCACTTGGTTTCCTTTCCTCCCTGAGCCTCTCCAGTCTCTCTGCAATAGCTCTATCCTCTTTTGAGAGTCCCTGGTATCTGGAACCTCCCTGACCCGAGGATTTTGCAGCTGCCTTCTGTTGTTCTTTCAGCTGGTTTTGTTTAGCCTCCAAAGCTGCTACACGCCTGTGACAAGGATGGGGAAAAAAAAAAGATACAATTGAGACAGGGGTTTAAACCCTGAGATATGAAAACATCCTCTGTCAACCCAACAGGCTATTTAAAGAATGTCAGTGCAGAACAGAACAGAAACCACTCCCTCCTGTACCAGGATCTCCCATAATGGCACAGTGAGGTACTCCCGAAACTAAGGAAAACCTTATCTCACAGGAGCAGCACATCTGGCACCATTTCCAAGGAGACAAGGAACATTTCACCACCACATTCCTGTTTCCAAGCCAACCCCGATCAGAGGTAGGCAGGTTGCTCTCCAGGAATCTATTCAAAAGAGCACACAGCTCACTCCCCCAGACAAACAAACAAAACCCCCAAACAACAAAACAAAAGTCCCATCCTTAATCTAATTCTAAACAAGCAAATACCCACATCACAAGCCCCACTTTTGTTGGCCTCTATAGGGGATGAAGAGTGAGGGCCTGAAAGGCTACTCTGCGGCAGAAACAACCATCTGACTGGCAAGTGCAACTCACTTTTTGTAGTTTTCTGGTGGTGACCATTTTGCTGAACTGCTTTGAGATTCCTCTCTGGAAGACAAAAACAATGATTTCTCTGAACTCAAGATACTAGCATTGCTCCACTCATTTAGTCCCTCAACTCAGGTGGAATGAGTATAAGTTTCTCAACCTCCTGGTACAGCCCCTTTCATAATATGGAGAGCGATCAGCTTATGAAAGGGATTAAGATAATATAGCTGCCTGGGACAGCAGGTGACTTCATTTCTGGTCCTTTGGTCCAGTTATTTTGCATCTGGATGAAATGTGATTTAATATGGTCACCAGTGATCCAAAGGAGGAGGGGCTGAAATATTCTTGCCTCCCACAGCCTGCACCTCCCAGTTCAGAGAGCAGATAGAATAGTTAGGTAAGACTCCCAGTGTAATTAGTCTCCACGCAGCAAGAACACTCCAAAAGGAGCTGTGGCACGCAACAAACACACTATTATATAATGTAAAAGCTAAACAAAATGTTTAAAAAATCATTATATAACCACCAGTATCATAATGACATCTTCTAGCACACTTGAACATGGCGCACCACAAACACATGTTGTGTAACTATCTTCTACTTTGCTGTATTCAGGTCGAGCTGTTAAACTACACACTTACATAAGGTAGCTGGCATATTTTATTCATTCTTAGAAGTCACAGCTACAAACACATCTGCACTGTGCTAAGGCCTGTATAGCAACAAATGAATGCAACATTGTCGAACCGCTTTCCAGTTCTAAGGTTTCAGTTCTGAAAGCTATTTGCATGAAGAACAATAACACATACAGCTTACAGACCAGCAGCCTACATGTATTATCTACCTGCTATCCAGTCAGGGAGGATTTTTTTCTGCTGTAACTCTATAGTACTGAGATTAAACAGATGAGGGAAAAAAAAAAACAACAACAACAACAACAACAGAAACATGGAGAAAGGCTGCCGTGTTTTCTTAATGGCTTTGGAGTTGTAAAGGGAAATCAGGACATTTCAAAACTTTAAGACTGAATACTGTATTTTCACCATCAGTAGCTCACACTGTTTCCATGAGCCAGTGCTTCCAAAATGAAGACCTCTGCTAATGAGAGGCCTTCATCCTTTAGACACCTGCAGAGCCAGAAAATTCCCCACTCACTGGTGAAAATTCCTTCCTGTATGAGAGAAGTGAGGAAGAGAGTTAAGAGAAGGAAGAGGACACAGACGAATTGGTTGAGAGAGGGTTCTGGTGTGCACTTGTACTTCTGTGTTACTTGTTCATGTGTATAACCAATACTGCTATTGAATTACACCTTTTTTGTTTTGAACAGGCAATCTACAGGTTATGTTTGCAGACATTTTTTTTACTTTTAAAAGCAAACCGATTTTATGATGCAAAATGTTAATTCTTTAGGCTACACATAGCAGAGACCTCTCAACAATAAGCATTTGTGTCACTGTTTGCCAAGAGAGGTAGTAATGCTTTGAGCATCTTGTAAGGTTATTCAACTACTACACATCCGAAAAGACTGCCAGAGCTTTCAAAGGGGTGTAGATTTCTGGGCAAAAACACAGTGGGGCTTAACCTGGTCTCGTGCAGTGAAGATATAAGGCATTCAGCGTCCATCCATGAAGATTTAAACCCTGTTTAAACAGGGTAACCGTAGAGAACAGCTTCACAAATCCTGATCCCTATCTTTGGACCGTACAACTCATGTAACAGCAGTTCAGTAATGGCCTGGCTTGAAACTCCAGGGTACATACAGCACACATGCACAGTGCAAGGCATAGCTCTCATAGCTCTCACACAGAAATCTGCAACACAACATCGGGATGCAAAATGAAGAAACAAAGCAGGACACTGCCTTTGGGTGAATGAACACTGCTGTCTTACCCAGTTAGTTTTCCATGACATTGCTTGCACACCTTCTGCTGAGTGCTTCCACAGCGGGGAACAACGGCACTGAAGCTAAGGCAGCCGGAGCAGAACGACCGTCCACAGTTCTTGCATCCACACTGCGGAGAGACAGGAGAGGGCAGGACAGGGTTTTGTCACCTAGTCACTGTGTACACCCCGTTGCTCTGGCTGGCCACATACAGGAACAACACCCGTGCCAAGGTGCGCTAAAAGTAACGCTGTGCTTATGCTGATTTGTTAAGAGAACTGTACCGTCAGCTGCTGCTGAAGACACGGAGACTCTGGAGAGCCTCTGAGCACCAGCACGTAACTGCTGCTGGAAGCAGAGACACCATTTCATCCCATAGTATAATAAAGGTGTGAGGCGAATTCTCGGAGACAACGACCGCATATTGGATTAGAGGATGACATCCAATGACGATTTTCCCCCTTTGTTTTTCTGCAGTAACGGCACATATTTAACATCATACCGATGCCAGGCACCACAAGCGCTCGGTAGGCAAGCAAGGCTAGGATGGCCGCCGGTGGGGAAGCATGCCTCGGCGCCGGGCGAGGCGGGTCCCCCGGTCCCCGCTCAGTCCCTCACCCGCGGGACCGGCCGGCCCTGCCCCCCCCTCAGCCGGACTTGCCTCTTTCTTGAAGACAGAGAACTTGGACGCACACCCATAGCACCGGCGATCCATGGCGCTACCGGAGGAGCTCCACACTTTTCCCCCACGCCCCGAGGACCCTTGCACAGATGTGTATAAGAG